AATATAAGAAAGTCCGGATCGTGTGTGGCGATGAAAAGTTCCACGTCAGCAATAAATATCCAGTTGCTATTATGATTAGGCATCGATTGCGTTTTCAAGGAAAATATTTCCTCTCTCTAAAAAAAGAGGAGAAAAATTCTGCATAGACTCTGAAGCCCACCCCAAGCTAGGGCTTTTGTGTCTTCATATTTGTCATCTATATACTTTCACACAACCGCAAGAAATAAGCCCTAAAAACGACAACGATGATCTCCGATCTTCCAAGAGATTTGGTAGAGGAGATTTTCTCCAGACTTCCCTTGAAATCTGTGAGAATCGTACGATTAACTTGCAAAAAGTGGGAAACTTTATGCAAAAGCCGTAGCTTTACGAAGATGCACACTGAGAAAGCATCTTCCGTATCAAGAGAAGGCGAGTCTCATCAGATGATCAGGTTGATGAATTGCAATCTATATTTAAAGAGCGTCGTCTTCGATGTTGATCCATCTATAAAGCCTAAAGGTAAACTTACTTGCCTTAACGAACAAGTCAAGATATCTCAAGTGTTTCACTGCGATGGTTTATTGTTATGCATCTTGAAAAATGATTCTAGGATTGTGGTTTGGAATCCGTATTTGGGGCAAAATAGATGGATCAAACCTAGTTCCTACGGACTAGGTAAGCAGATGTACTACTACGCTCTCGGATACGTGAATAAGAAGAACCAATCTCGTCGTAGCCACAAACTCTTGAAGTTTTGTGAATTTAAATTCCTTCCCCAAGGATCTCCCAAAAACCGCTGTTTATATTTCGAAATCTATGATTTCGACTCTTGTTTATGGAAAACTCTTCCTTTCTCTGAATACTGGAGTATACACTCTTATCAGCGTGGCGTCTCTCTCAAGGGAAGCACTTACTGGTGTGTTAACTCAAAAGGCAAACAAGGTGTAGTCTGTTTTGATTTTAGAAAAGAGATATTTGGGCCGCTTCTGCCTCTGCCGTTTAGCACTGGGGTCAATAACCGCTATGTGACTTTATCTAGTGTTAGAGAAGAGAAGCTTGCGGTTTCCTTACAGCACAAGGTAAGATGCCCAAATAAGATTAAGATATGGGTTACTACTAAGATTGAGGCCGAGAAGGTGTCGTGGAGCAAGTTCTTGACAATGGATGTGGGACCAGGCCTTCAGTTTAAACGGAGTTTCTTCATCGACGAGGAGACGAAAGTGGCCATGGGTTTTTATAAAAAGTATAGAGTTAAGTTCGTTGGAGAGGATGGATACTTTAGAGAATTGGATCTCGGAAAATGTGCGGTCAAAGGGTGTCGGGCAAGTGTGTGCCCTTACGTTCCAAGTCCAGTGACAATCAAGCAGCGTGCAGGAGGCAAAAGGAAGAAAGAAAGCAATTTAGAAAAGCCAAGCAAGGAGGAGCAAGCTGCATGAGATAGCAAAAAGGAGAAAACGAGATGATCAGTCACAATTTACAAAAAAAAACCTAATTTATGTCAATTCAATTCTTCCATCTTATGCAACATGATCAAGTTTTTTAGACTATCGATTACTTAGTCCGGATAAGTAGAAAAATTTAAAACCGAAATAGCTGATAAGATGTTTTTGAAAGCAAAATAGAATCATAGTCGTTTCTACTATTTTTATCTCATGCCATGGGAGCCTTTTGATGAGAACAAGAGTTTGTAAAGAGTTGTTAATTTTATCATATAACAGAGGAAGAACTAAGCCAAATTTGCTTGCACTAAAAGACTGTTTATACACTTGGCGAAGCTTTTATGACTTCCTCCAGAAAGATTATTAACAATATAAGAAGAGATGACAAGACTAGAGAAATGTTTCAATTCCCATAGTCTCTCTCTGTTTCATCAAGGCTTCTTTGTCTATGGTTGCTGAGTTTTGAATTGTTAGTTACATAGCTTCTAGTCTTCTACATCAACCGCAAGAAATCAGAGAGACAGAGAAAATGAATTTAAGTTTTTTGGTTTAGTTTTTGTTCTTTCGAGTTTGATTCAAATATAGAAGAGTCAGTTTTCCAGATATATAGAAAATAATGGTTATTAAACCAAATTAAAATTGTAAACTAGATTTTTTGTTTTATCTGATTTGGTGTGGTTTATTGCAGAGTAAAATCGAGGGTTTAATTTGTTTATAGTTGTCAGGTTGCATGGAAACTCCGTCCGAGGTACGTTTCCCGCTTCTGAAACGTTTCGGAAACCGAAACATTTCGAAAACACAAAAAATCACGTTTCCTAAAAATTCTAATTTGGAAACGCGTGTTTTCCATTTTTGAAAGAAGATAAAAACTAATTTCTTGTTTTTATAGAACAAATAAATAATTATAAAAATTAAATTAAATAATTGATTTACTTATTTATAGTAAATAATAAATATTTTGATTTGGTAATTAAGATTAATTTTAAGATTATTAAGTTTGAAAATTATTCTCTGAATCAATTAGAATTAGAGATAGATTGGTTAATGAAACTAATAAAATCGATAATAAAGAAAATCTTCTAAATTTTTGACTTAACATATTTTAATTTTTATAGTTTAATAATTATGTAAAAATTATATATTAGATTTTATTGATTTAAATATTCTACTTATAATTAGATCTTTAATATTTAATATATATATATATACGTTTCTAAAATATTTCTATTTCTATATATTTTTTTTTAAAATAACATTGCCGTATTTTGAAACGTTCCGCTTCTATGTACCCGTTTCCATTTTTATGCTAACATAGGTTTGTCATCAGTTAATTGTTTTAGAATTTTTTTTCTCTTATATGGAAGGAAAAAAAGGAAGAAAAATTCTCAAGAAAGAAGAAGGAGAATTATATTCTGAAGCCCACGATTGGCCCAGCTACGTTTAGGGTTTCTGTGATTTTCAATTGTCAATACAAATACTTACCCCCAACCGCAAGAAATCAGAGGAAAAGGACCCCCAAAAAAAAAAAAAACCTTTTGTTGCAACCTTTTAAAACGACAATGATCATCTCCGATCTTCCAAGAGATTTGGTAGAGGAGATTTTCTCTAGACTTCCCTTGAAATCTATGAGAATCGTACAATTAACTTGCAAAAAGTGGGAAACTTTATGCAAAAGCCGTAGCTTTACGAAGATGCACACTGAGAAAGCATCTTCCGTACCAAGAGAAGGCGTGTCTCATCAGATGATCATGTTGATGAATTGCAATCTCTATTTAAAGATCGTCGTCTTCGATGTTGATCCATCTATAGGCCCTAAAGGTGAACTTACTTGCCTTAGCGAACAAGTTAAGATATCTCAAGTATTTCACTGTGAGGGTTTATTGTTATGCATCTTGAAAGAGGATTCTAGGGTTGTGGTTTGGAATCCGTACTGTGGGCAAACAAGGTGGATCGAACCTACAAACGATCGCCCAGGACCCAAAGCACTAGATACGGATCGAACCTACTACGCTCTTGGATACGTGAATAAGAAGAACGAATCTCGTCGTAGCCACAAACTCTTGAAGTTTCATGTAATTTACCTTCGTTTCCGTGCACGTCCACTTCCATTCAGAAATTTCCGACCATCTCCCGAAACCCCCTTTTTTTGCTTCAAAATCTATGATTTCGACTCTTGTTTATGGAAGGATCTTGACTATGGCAATCCACACTGGAGTATATCTTCGAATCAGCGTGGCGTTTCTCTCAAGGGAAACACTTACTGGTGTGTTTCAGAAAATAACTCAGAAGGAAAACGTGAGTGTCACGTAATCTGTTTTGATTTTAGAAAAGAGAGATTTGGGCCGCTTCTGCCTTTGCCGTATAGCGGTGGGTATCGTGACTACTATGTGACTTTATCTTGTGTTAGAGAAGAGAAGCTTGCGGTTTCGTTACAGCACGGAAGTCCAGAAGAGACTGAGATATGGATTACTACTAAGATTGAGGCCGACAAGGTGTCGTGGATCAAGTTCTTGACAATGGATATGGGACCAGGCTTCGATGGATTTCCTTTTGCACAGGGTTTCTTCATCGACGAGGAGAAGAAAGTGGCCATGGGTTTTTATGAAAACTATGAAGACTCGAATCGCAACAGAGTTCACTTCGTTGGAGAGGATGGATACTTTAGAGGATTGGATCTCGGAGAATGTGCGGTCAAAGGGTGTCGGGCAAGTGTGTGCCCTTACGTTCCAAGTTCAGTGCAAATCAAGCAGCGTGCAGGAGGCAAAAGGAAGAAGAAAGAAAGCAATTTAGAAAAGTGTCCATTTGCAACATTTCGCACTTGAAAAGCCATGAGATGGACAAAACGAGATGGTTAGTCTCATTTTACAAACCCTTATAGTTATATGTATATTTCTTTCATTCATTCTTCTATCCATCTTATAATCTTATGCAACAAAAATGTTGGTTATTACGTAGTCCGGATAAAAGTAGAAATTTTAAAAACCGAAATAGCTGATAAAATGTTTGAAAGCAAAACAGAATAAACAAACGTTTCTACTATGTTTTCTCAGGCCATGAAAACAAGAGTTATTCAGCTTTTGGGTTTTGCTTCACGAATCGAAGAGCTCTAAATCGTTTTTTCTATGTCTTCAATTGTTAGTTACATAGCTTCTACCTTCAGCCGCAAGAAATCAGAAGGAAAGAAAAGGGTTTTAAGTTTTGGATCAGTTTTTGTTCTTTCGGTTTGATTCGAATTAAGATTCGGTATTTTCAAGATATCTAGAAAAATATGATTGTTTAAACCAAATTAAAAAATTGTTAATTATATTTTTTTTGCTTAGATTGGATTGGTTTGGTTTTGTCTTTCTATCTCTAAGCCTTGAGGTGAGAAGAATCGGATTGTCCATATGAATTCTCTATCCTTGAGGCCTAGAAAGATTCAATATGCATTACTTGAGTGGCCCAATTATATACAAAGCGGAATACATTTTTAAGGCCTAAGGGGTGACCCATATAGATAATTGGGCCTCTTAAAATTTTGAGCCCAATTATCTCTACTTTACAATACACCAGCGGTAAACTTAAGCCTTTCACAGCAAAATGATGTACCGTTAGATTGAATCATCCATCGCATTCTATCCGTTCGATTTACACCTTTCCTCACCTACACGTTACTCTACCATAATGAGAACCACACATCCAGAGAGAAGAAAAAGAAAAAAAAAAAAAAAGAGAATTACAAAACAGAGAAGAAGCGAAAAGAGGGATGTCGAACAGAGAATATTAGGGCTTTCGTTGTGATTTTCAAATAGAGAAACAGTCATTATATCTCTTGTGTCTTCTTCTTCTTCACTTGTGTTTCTCTCTTTCTCTGTGACAGAGAAGCTTTTTTAAATAATTCGAGGTTCGTTTTCTTTACTGTTAACTGTACTTCTTACTGTAAATGCCGGATGTTCGAGGAAATTACTGTGCGGTTTGTATCGAAATGGCTTATGGTTCGTCTTCTTACATCGAATTAGGGCTCTGGGGTATTGTTTGGTTCTCTGGGAACATTGTTGGGGTCACAATAGAAGAATTATAATTTGGCTACTGAATTTTATTGGATACAAGTTCTCTCGTATTTTGTTTGATTCCGGTGAAGAAACGCATTTTTTGGCATTTGCTCATAAATCGCATCTCTTTGCCTACTATGAACTTCCTAAATTAGCTTCACGAATTACTAATATCTTGTTGTCGTAGACACTAATTTAATCATTAGTAGACTATTTGATTTGGTCAAATGCTTTACTAACTACACTAGTTTCTCATTCTATGTAGTCGATTCGATTGTGTTCAGTGTGAATACCTATCTGTTTATGTTTTACTTCTGTATCTACTTATGTTTTGTTCTTGTCCTGAAAATGACTTAATGTGACTTCTGTTTGTGTATACTGTTTTAATTTAGTGTTTTCATGTTCTTTTCTGTTAATGTCCTGTCAGAAATACTGAATAGGGTTTTAAAGAGGCATGTCTTCTGATACTGCCAAGGAAAATGCATCTGTTGTTGATTCGTCCTTGACTGATTGGAAACAAGATGTAGCAAACTCTGATGATCCAGGTAAATTATGTAGCTTGTCTTTTTCTTTTCACAAAGATCTACGGTTGGTTTAGTTTGTCTTCTTGTAATTGTGTTTGTTGAATTGCTTTGGTCAGAGAGTTCAAGTTACAGAAGCAAGGAGGATCATAAGCCGTGCAAAGTGGAAGCTGATCCTGATCAGCTTGAAAGTTCGAACGCAGACAAGAACAGTAAACCTGGGTATAAAACGAGGTATTTCATCATCAAGAGTCTGAACTACGAGAACATTCAACTTTCGGTCGAGAGAGGGATTTGGGCTACTCAAGTAATGAATGAGCCAATACTGGAAGGTGCCTTTCATGTAAGAACCTGTTCTTTTTTTTTTAAAGTTTGTTGCAACGTTCTATAATCTTACATTTAGTGTTTGTGGTGTATACGGAGTTCATAATATTCTTTGTTGTAGAATTCTGGTCGAGTGGTTTTGATCTTCAGTGTGAACATGAGCGGATTTTTCCAAGGGTATGCGCAGATGCTGTCTCCTGTGGGTTGGAGACGAGACCATATATGGAGCCAAGGAGGTGGTAAGAACAATCCTTGGGGACGTAGTTTTAAAGTGAAATGGTTGAGGTTGAGTGAATTGCCTTTTCAGAAAACACTTCATCTCAAGAACCCTTTGAATGATTACAAGCCCGTCAAGATCAGCAGAGATTGTCAGGTACACCTTGAGAGTTTCTTCCTTATATTTGCTTCCACCACTTCATGTAAAATGACTCACGTGAAGTTCTTTAATGTGTGCATTCTCTAGGAGTTGCCTGAAGATATTGGTGAAGCACTTTGTGAGCTCCTTGATGCACATAGCTGCGATGAAGGGTTGCTGAATAGGTATCTCCTTTGAAACCCTATGTGGGCTTTGGCTTTCTCGTTATTGTATCAGCTTGTTCTTGATTTTATCTTCATACAGCTCTTCTAAGGATGATTATTCGACGAAAAGGTCTCGCGTAGAACCTCCATCTTCCTCAGGAGACGATGAGTATAATAACAATATGTGGGGACATACACAGATGCCTTACCCTCCTGCGGTCTACTCAAACCAGGATGACCTCAGCAGATTCCATCTTGCACAGCAGAGAAGATCAGGATATGGAGTAGTAGCCTCTGAATATCTTCATACATCATCAGGTGCATCTAACTCTCGTGTGGAGCAAGAACATTCTTTACGTTTCAACTCATGGGGTTTGCCTTTGGAGAGCCCTCTCGCTAGTTCTCTAACCGATGATGATTTTCTTAACATGGTAGTGGCATATCTGCTTGTAACTTATGCTGAGAATTTCATTCTATTACGGTGTCTTGTTCGCGAACTAGATTATTTTGTAAATCATGTGTTTAAGTTGTATCAAAGATGCTTATGGCACACTACTATTGGAAACTTGGTGAAAACATTTGTAGTATTTTTTTAACCTTTGAGCTATTTAAGATCCATGTTCAACCATTTTGCTTACATATCTCAATGTCTGGCTCGAGTTTTGCATTAACAGGGATTTTCCTTCTGTTTCTTGAGAAGCATCATGAGCTCTGGTTTTGTTGTTGTTTTTGCAGTCTTATGAAGAATACCTTGAAGCCCACAGCAGATGCATGAAACAACTTGGTCTTCCTGTCAGTATGTTTGATCCATCACTGTTTAAACATTTTACTTACTTTGATTTGTGGCTTGACCTGATATTACTCTGAGTTTACTTACTTTTCTCACAGCATTTATAGGTTCTTTTGTGATGCTTATAACTTCATGAGGATCATTCTCCGATTAATTCTTACGCGGTAAACCCTCTTTCTCTCTGCAGGTAATTCCACAATCACAGGCCACACAAGAGCCATCAAGTAAAACAGATAATGTGTAAGCTTACAAAACCTGCTGATGAACCAAAGAAAACTCCATTTCTCCTGCAGTTTCTAAAATATTTCAATCTTTTGCCATTTGATCAGAAGCAATGGTTCTTCGCAAGACCGGCCTTCATCAAGAAAGAGAGGACGGCATTCATCATAGGATTCAACTTCAAACTCGGAACTCTACCACGAAGATTTGGTGTCATTTTGAGAGTATGGTGATGGAGAAGAAGTTGACAAGTTGTTCTATGTTGTAATTCATCTTCATTTTTTCTGGTGGTTTATAGAAACCAGAAGACTGTAACTAAAAGTTTCTTCCTTTTGATTGCTAAAACTTGTACAGTTTCAAAATATGGCAAAGCGTAAGCTTTTGGAAACCTTAACCCTTAATTAGGTTTGTAAAATATTTCGTTTTAAAGATGAAGTCTCAATTTATCACGTCAGTCTTAACACACTGAAGGTCTCTGGTTCGAACCCGGGCGAAGCCAATTTTAATTTTATTTTTATCCTAATCTATTTTCATCCCATAATAAATCACAAGGCCCATACTTTTACTGTTTTACATGAGAAGGAAATCTTTAAAACCATTATGATCTCTTTGTATATATGATTCACATCAAGAAATGAGTATCCCACCAATATACATTTCCTTTTGCCAAAACAATATACATATTTTAGCTAGCCTTCATTTTGAGTAGCAAGTCTTGATTGATTTACACACAAAAAAAAAAGAACTGATTCATAGTGAGATTAAAAACTCTGTTCTTTTCTACTGTTTGCGAACGCCTACGCTCCTGCCAAATCCAAAAAAAAAAAAACATGATCCTTAAAGCTATTTATATAAGAAAGAAAAGAGTATTGACGTCGGTAGGCTTGAATCAATTAGCTTACTTCCTTCCTTGCTTGAAAGGAGTTTAGTCTATTTTCCTTTGACACCTTATACCAAGAAAAAGATTGTTGTAGAACTCAATATAACATTTAAAAACTAAGAACATAAAGTCAAATGAAATGGAGATTCACAAGTTGCAAAGTCTTTACTTGTTCAGGCTGAGGAATTCTTAAGCGAGATCCATTGTTTGGCTGGAGCTCGGATTTTCGAGAGCTGTGTTGAAAATGTATTTACTAGAACATGCATACCATAAGTAGTGAGTCACACCACAAACTTAGACACTTTGTATGTTTGACTGAAAAACAAATGGTCAACTAAGTCAAAAGCAACAAAACAGCTTTATCAAAGCTTGTACTGAAATAACACATACTTGAAATAGAAGAAGATAATCAAGTAGTCCAAAACATCTAAGAAGATAAAAAGAGTCCTGGGCAGCTCCATATGCAAGCATGGAGTTCAACTCCAACTTTTTGCGTATCTGATTAAAGAAAGACAATAAGTCAAAATGTATTTTTGACACATAAAAACAATGTAAACATCTGCGTAGAACTAGTAATATACTGGATGCAAATTCTTAACTTGACCCACATGCTTGAATACAGAAACTAAAGTCTTTCTGGATAAGAAGAAGTGTAACCGAGCAGCCAGTCTCACACCCTTAAGGATTCGAACTGTTTTAGGAAAACCAAACGTAAATAAGAATTAGATGCAACAGTAACTAATGAATACAATCATTTTTTTTTTTGTAAAAGAACAAAATTAATGGAGAGAACTACTATGGTCTACCACAATCCATCTGGAAAGACAAGTCTGCAGGGATTGGTGTGCGCAGCTGCAACAAAGTTCAAAAAGAAAAAGATAATGGTTAACAAATTGAAGATAAAGCTTCAAAAGGAGAATGATGCCGGAACAATGAAGTGTTAGTTACCTTCAAATTCTTCAAATCTTTCATTTTATTTGTGTAATCATATAATGGTTAAACTGATAGCTCATGTTTGTTCGATAAAAATGACGATACTTTTTTTCTCCAAAAAAAAATTACTGTTTTATATATCCCCTATATATTAATTGAGAAATATTTTTAAAGAATAATTTTAATTTTGTAAGTTATTTACAATGATGTCATTTTGCTGATGTGTCATCACCAAAATCATTTTCAGCAAATATATAAAAATGGACTTATGTTACTAAATTAATTACATGTTATGCCACTCATATTAATTTGGTTATACATTAGTTTATATCATTTATTTGTACATAATAGGTTAAAATATTCTTCTTATCAAAAATATATCATATTAATTATTTATTTATACATTATATCTTTGTTTAAACTTATTTTTGTGAACAAATACATCATCACTCATCCATATGGTAAAAGATATATATATACATATATATATATATATATATTATGTGCATGTGTTATAATTCAATTTTCAAAAATAAATATAAATTACTCAAATTATTAATGAATAAAAATATGTTCAAAATTTTTATATTGGAAATGAAGATGTGTACATCAATAAATGGTTCATAAATCATTATCAAGAAACATAAATGATATCAAAAATTATAAAATTAGGAAGTTTGATTTAATAGACATTCATATTTATAATATTTTTGGTTTAATATGGTTTTTAATAGAAGCAAAACCATATAAATTAACTAAATAATATAAATATTTAAATTTTATAAAAAGGTTTGAAATATTATATCAAAAATTCAAAATACAAAAATATTTATATATGTTAAAAGAATATATTTAGTTTGATTAAAAGTGAAATATTATACTTTTTAATTCATACAAACAAAATAACTTGGTCAAAAAGATAAAATTCTATTTTTTTAAGATATTATATGATAAAGTAATCAAACTTTTTGATATTATAAATATTTTTATTAGATCAAAATATTAAGAGTTTATAAATATTGACTCAGTTATATATAATTTTAAATATTTTTTTTTTAAAATATATAATCTGTTTTATATAATCTCTATGTATATTTAGTATTTTAAAATAAAATTTACAACAATTTACTTTTGGTAAAAGTTAATATTTTTTAACTGTAATGTTTATAGACTAACATAAATATGCAATTACATTCGTTTAAAAATAATATTAAAATTAATTATGAAATCTTTCAATAAAATTTAATTTTTCTAATTTTAGTAGTAAAAAAAATCTTACTATTATCATACCTTATTAGGCATTAACTAATAATTTAATTAACATGTATCTATTAAATTTGATACATGGTAACTACACAAGTAATTTATTCATCAATAAATTTAATATAATTAATTAACTAAAATAATTTCATTAGTTTAAAATTTAATATGTAAAAATAATAATTTATATTTAATGTAATATAATTGTGAGCTAATTAATAGTTTATTAAAAAACTTAATCAAAATGCAATCTACTACGTTTGATATATGTTAACAACATAGGTAATTTAGTTTATGACACAATAAATCATTTAATTTTGGTCTAAATAATATTACGATTACATATCTAAAGATTTCGAGTATACACTGTAATAACGTTATTTTCTGGTAGAGTAAAAAAATAATATGTAAAATAGGAAAACTTATATTTTAATGTATATCAATATTTTTATAAAAGTTAATTATACTAAATTTTATATCTAACATCATTTTCTATACAACCAACATTAGCAAAAATGCATTGAAACTCTACCAATATTCATTGTATCTTAAATTTATTATTTTATCTTATTTTGTATACACTATATTTTCAACCTACAATTTAGTATCTATTCAATTACAGTAAAATCTCTATAAATTAATAACATTGGGACTATATAGGTTTATAAAATAATAATTAATTTATAATGATTATTAATTTATAGATATATTATTTGGTTAATAAACTAATTCCGAGACTGGCCAAAAATATTAATTTATCGAAGTATTAATTAATCGAATATTAATTTATAGAGGTTCTACTGTACTTACATGCAAAATAAAATCAACTATGTTGTATATAGAAACTTTGCTGATGAGCTAGGTGAGTATTGATGGTTGGCTAACACTAATATTGTGATATGTGTTTAAAGTTAAGGATGTTGTCCAAAAAAAAAAAAGATAAGGATAACTGAACAGATGGTGATTTCGTTTCACATAACAAATATTCTTTCTGATTTTTATCATGTATTTTTATTATTATATAATATATTTTAATTTTTACTAGATGGCGTTACACATATTTCTAATTTACAAGGATGCTTTCGATTTTTATTTGATCCTCAAATTCTGTAGTACAATTATTCAGATTGATGTAAATGTAAATAATTACAAAACACTGTTCTATAATTATTTATATGTATCAAAATCGTTACAAATGCATACTGTATTTTAGAAATAGACAGACTTCCAATCAATCCTTATTGATAACATTCAAACGGTCATGAAGACCAATCTATGCTTTTATATGCAGTTTAATTAGTAAAATTTTATTATATTTTAGACTAAGTCAAGACCAGTTCTTTTCTATTTTACAAAGAAAGTTATTTATATTAAATTATGGTTATAGTTACTGTTTTCTAAATTATGAACAAAAAATATGTGTCTTTTTAATTCATTTAATATACAATATAAATAATAAACAGTTTAAGCAATAATATTTAATTATTGTCTAAATATCAAAAGTAAATAAATAAATATATATATATAAATATTGTATATCTAAAGCTTGGGATTAGTAGAAAAACTTAATCATATTGTCAATAAGAATACATAATATATATATATATCTGTATATATATAGTGACTTTGTGTTTCTACTCCAATTTGGTGTATATTATATAATTTTAAAATTAATTTCTATAACAATTAAATGACCCTATATTTTATAAAATAAACAAAAAAGATTTATATCATCAATGTTATAGCATAATTTTATGTAAAATTTTTAGAGAGTAATTTTAATTTTGTACATTATTTATAATTGTGTCATTTTGCTGATGTGTCATCACCAAAATTATTGCTAGCAAATATATAAAATATATTTTAACTTTATATAAAATCAATTGTTATATGTTATATGAATGTAAAATTATATTGATTTAAATACATAATAATTATTTTACCTCGTATATGGTGGGGATTATTATCTAGTATATTTATTAAATCAAATAGTGTAGCAATAAAGTTTTAGAGAGTAACTTTAATTTTGTACATTATTTATAATTGTGTCATTTTGCTGATGTGTTATCACCAGAATTATTGTTACCAAATATATAAAAATAGATTTAAACTTTATATAAAATCAATTGTATTATATTATATAACTGTAAAATTATATTGAGTTAAATACATAATAATTATTTTATCATGTATATGGTGCAGGTTATTACTTAGTATATTTATTAAAATCAAATAGTGTAGCATTAAAGTTTTGTAGTGTAGTTGGTTATGATCAGGTCAGTCTACCTTATTGAAGTGAAGTGTTAGTTACCTTCAAATTCTCTAAATCTTTCATTTTCTGCTCGAAAGGAGTTGAGTCTATATTCCTTTGAGACCTTATACCAATATGACATTTAAAAGCTAAGGACAAAAAGTCAAATGAAATGAGGATTCACAAGTTGTAAAACTTTACTTGTTCAGGCTGAGGAAATCTTAAAGCTAGATCCATTGTTTTGCTGGAGCTCGGGTTTTATTGAGAGATGTAAAATTTAAACCATTGTAAAAAACAAGTTCTTGGAGGAAATAATTTTCCGAGAAGCAATGATTGTGAAGCTGTGAGTTGTACCTTACTGAAAAGGTCTGTTGGCAAATCTGGTTGAGTTCTCTTGTCCGAGCGAAAACCGAACTCCTGAGGTTGAGTCTATTGTACAAGCTCTTCTTCCGTATGGAAAAAAGGAAGCAATTTTCTCAAACAAGAAGAAGAATTCTGAAGCCCACGATTGGCCCAGCTACGTTTAGGGTTTCTGTGACTTCAATATACAAATTCTTGCCCCCAGCCGCAAGAAATCAGAGGAAAAGAACCAAAAAAAGAAAACTTTTTGTTGCATCCTTGTAAAAACGACAACGATGATCTCAAATCTTGCCAGGGATTTGATAGCGGAGATTTTCTCTAGACTTCCCTTGAAATCTATGAGAGGCGTACGATTAATTTGCAGAAAGTGGGAAACTTTATGCAAAAGCCGTGAAATCTCGTGGTTGCCACAAAATCTCGAGGTTTTTGTGAAATTTACTTCTGTCCACGTCCATCCGAAATCTCCAAGAAACTCCCCCAAAACCGCTTCTTCTGCTTGGAGATCTATGATTTCGACTCTTGTTTATGGAGGACTCTTACTTTCTCTCCACACTGGCGTATATACTACACTTATCATGCTGGCGTCTCTCTCAAGGGAAACACTTACTGGTGTGTTTCAGAAAAGAACACAGAAGGCGAACTTGAGTGTCACGTAATCTGTTTTGATTTTAGAAAAGAGAGATTTGGGCCGCTTCTGCCTCTGCCTTTCAACGTTCAGGTTGATCACTATCATGTGACTTTATCTTGTGTTAGAGAAGAAGCTCGCGGTTTCGTTAGAGCACAAATTAAGATTTCCAGAAGAGATTGAGATATGGATTACTACTGATAAGATTGAGGCCGAAATGGTGTCGTGGATCAAGTTCTTGACAATGGATATGGGACCAGGCGTCGATGATATTATTTTCTTTAAACAGAGTTTCTTCATTGACGAGGAGAAGAAAGTGGCCATGTGTTTTTATCGAAACTATGAAAACACGATTTGCAACAGAGACTATAGTTATTACATCATTCAGAGAGTTTGGTTTCAGTGCCTGGACACGAGACCCTCTCTCTGAGCCATTTCGTAGAGACCAATGCTCATAAGAACCTTGGCGTCAGCAGTTTTGCGCCAGAGCTCTCTGTATGGGACGAGTCGTACTTTGATGAACTCGCCATGTTCACGGAGCCCTGTCTCTTTGCCCTGTAGCTGTCTGATCGTCTCTTGTTCCACTTGCCTTCTGTACAGAAACACGCTCATCTCTTCGTCACAGCCTCCCTAAACCAGAGAGACACCAAAAGAGGGATAAAAAAATCAATCAGATTCGGTGTAAGTAAGATTAGAATGGAGTACTAAAAACGGAGACGGAGTGAGGAAGAAGATGGCTTTACCGGAGAAGGAAAGATCCGGTGGCCTGTAGATGGGTCAAGGAAAGCCGTGAGATCAACCATGTCTTCTTTTTTCAGTTTTATACCGATCTCCTCTTCGACCTGATACATTATATCCATGAAGCAAAAGTGTCATGTAACTTGCACAAGACACGAGTCCAAAAAGACTTTGTCAATACACTTTGACTTCTCTACAATCTCAGGTTCCTCCTCGTGTAAACCAACAAAGTCTCTCAATCATTTTGCAGGAAATTTCATTTGCGGTTGCAGTTTTTGTCAACTCAAAAAGTTCTCTACTTTCTTTTACTTCCACTAAATCAACCAAAGCTCTTAAGCATTAAGGTGTGTACCTCTCGAACTGCAGTGCCAACAAAATCACCTTCATCATCATCCAACATCCCAGCAGGTAATTCCAGAACAATCTTCCCGGTAGGAACACGAACCTTCAAAAAAAAAAACATGATCTTTGTATCTTCCACATTCGTCTCAAATCATTCAAAAACAAAAATAGCAATGAACAAAAAAAATGAATAACCTGCTCAGTGAGAACGGCGTAAGTGTCATCATTCGACTCCAAGAGAATGAGAACGGCTACAGCTGGTCCTCGTGCAAATACAATACCTGGAACCTAATGGTGTCTTCTTAGCTTACAAATACACAAGAGAAGAAACTAACATTCTAAGAAGAGAGCCGAAGCAAAGAGTACAGAGATACAGATACAAGAAGATGATCAGATACCTTCTGCCCAGATTCCTTGTCGAATATATCCGCTCTGAATTTGAGAAATCCAATTCGTTTTCCAAACATATCAACTCCCTAATTCAAAATATACGATTAGAACTTTACCTCTGAGACTAACTCTCAAACTAATCAAGAAACCTCCAAAAAACGGAACTTTGCTTTAATGCGTTTAAGATCGATTTCACCTGAATAAGAACTTGCTTTAACGTCATTGTCCCATCAGCTAAGATTCCAGTCTCTGATTCCAAGTTTCTTAGCCAGTTCCTGAACAGAGATGAATCTATCGCGTTCCTACAACCGAATTCGGAAAGTTAACGGAGAATTCCACAAGAAAAACATACGGAATTCGAGAAAAATGGCACCAGAGATTCGGAAAAAAAAAAATGAAAACTCGCCTGAAATCAGAGGAAGAGACTCCCGCGGCCGCAGCGACACGGACAGGCTCGGTGGGTTGGCTCGGAAGCGTGATGGAGTCAGTGAGAGAGGGAGAAGAAGAAGACATCTTGCAGCGTGGAATAAGCTTCGTGTGATGAAGAAGACGAGGCAGAGCGCGTGAGGGACACGCGATAAGCCGTGCGGGAAGAGTGAAGCCTGGCATAGATGAGGGAATTGAAAGATCACCAGATCATCATTCTCACTTCTTGGAGAAAGATGAAATTTCAACACGTGTCGAGAGTCACGTGTAAGCCTTTTATGGGCTTTATTTGGGCTTAACCATGAAAGATTCTGTTGTTGGGCAGATTCGCTAGTGGTTGAAGTCCGAAAGAATGATACCGTAGATATACTCTAATATGTTAACCGAAAATGGTACTGGATTTTTAGCGGTAAATCGAATCTTTTAGCGGTAAGCTGTTATCATAAAGTAAAATAGTTGAAAACTGTAAAAAAGAGTTAAAACTGTATAAAAAAAATTGAGTATAATACTGTTAGTAACGCTTTTTGTACTGCTTTTGTAATTAGTAATTATTAAAACGGTATAAGTTGTATCGTATCAGACATAATTGTTTGAGAATCAATCCGTATAAAGCTTAGAATCAATCCGCACAAGTCTAAAAACATTTGCACATACCATCTCAACTTTTGAAACGATCCAACCATAAGCCATTGTATCATGTGAATTAAAGTTACAAAAGAGCCCACAATGAACCCAAATCATTCTCTTCAAAGGTGCTCGTGAGGGAACAAACATTCAATGAATATGAAATGTATTAGAAAAGTAGAAACGTCTGGATTTTTATTAGCCATTCAACAATTTTAACATTGAGAATTGGATATAGTAGTGGTCATTAAACTGACAGCTCATGTTTGTTCGATAAAAATGACGATGATACTTTTTTCTTCCAAACAAAAAAAAATAATGTTTTAGATATATATTTATTATAATCAAATAGTGTACCAATTAGGTTTCATGCAAAAAATAAAAGCAAAACTCCAAACCACTATGCCAACTTGAGGTTGACGCACTAAAGCCCCATTGAAGCAAAGTAATCAAATCATGTTCAAAATCACATGTCAAAAAATTAAATCCCGTTATCCACAATTCATTACATAATCAAGTGATTATAAAAACTCACCAGGAGCATGTCTTATCACAAGAAAAAAACTTATTAATACTCTTGAATAGCTTTTGCAACAGGGTTAGAATTAATATACAGAATGAAGCACAACAAGTCAATACGAAGTTATATGTGTTTACTAGAACTTATATACCATAAGTAATGAGTCACACCACCCAAACTAATACACTTTGTATGTTGAATGAAAAACAAATGGTCAAAAGCAACAAGAAAAGCATTATCAAAGCATGTACTGAAATAACACATATTTGGAATGGAAGAAGTAATCAAGTAGTCCAAAACATCTAAAGAAGATAAAAAAGTGTCGTGGGCAGCTCCATATGCAAGCATGGAATTCAACAACATTTTGCATAATTTCTCTAGAGAAGAAAAAGTGTAACTGAGCAGCTAGTCTCACACCCCTTAAAATTTGAATTGTTTTAAGAAAGCCAAACATAAATAAAAAATTAGATATAACACTAACTAATGAATATCATCATTTTTTGTGTGCAAAAGAACAAGATTAATAGAGAGAACTATTGTGGTCTACCACAATCCATCCGGAAAGACAAGTCTGCAGGAGTGGTGTGCACAGCTGCAACAAAGTTCAAAAAGAAAAAAAAATGGTTAACAAATTGAAGATAAAGCTTGAAAAGGAGACTAATGCTAGAACAGTAAAGTGTTAGTTATCTTTGAATTCTTCAAATATTTTATTCTATTTGTGTAATCATATAATGGTTAAACTGATAGCTCATGTTTGTTTGATTGATAAAAATAATGATACTTTTTTCTTCTAAACAAAAAAATATATATATACTGTTTATATATATATTAGTTAAATTCATTAGTGTAACAATAAGGTTTCGTGGTGTAGTTGGTTATCACGTCAGTCTAACACACTGAAGGTCTCCGGTTCGAACCCGGGCGAAGCCAATTTTTAATTCCGTTTTTTATTTACCCTACTCTATTTTCATCCCATAAATCACAAAACCATGCTTTTACATCCTTCTTCCTTTTGCAAATGCCATACGTGTGTACATGTCTCAAAAACCCAGAAGAAAATCTTTAAAACCATTATGATCTCTGTGTATATAATCCACCAATATACATTTCCTTTTTGCCAAAAAAAATTAGCCGACCAATTATACATATTTTAGCTACCCTTCACTTTGAGTAGAAGTCTTGATTGATTTACAAAAAAAAATAAAAGAACTGATTCATATGATGGGATTGAAAACGCTGTTCTTTTCTACTGTCTGCGAACGCCTATGCTCCTGCCAAATCCAAAACCAAATATAGATGATCTTCATAGCTAATATATAAGAAAGAAAAGAGCAGCGAGTCCTTTTTTGTATATGACTCGTTAGTTCTTAGTTGTAAGCAGCTTACCTCCTATTGGTCCACATACCACGTTGTACCGTTGGTTTTCCCATCACCCTGCTTGTTCTCTGCAACGTACTAATTCTTAGTCAAAGATGATTAAAGAACCAAGATTGTGAAGTAGGTAGGCTTGAATCAATTAGCTTACTTCATTCCCTGCTTGAAAGGAGTTGAGTCTATTTTCCTTCGAGACCTTTATACCAAGAAAAAAGATTGTTGAAGAACTCAATATAACATTTAAAAGATAAGGACAGAAAGTAGATTCACAAGTTGCAAGTCTTTACTTGTTCAGGCTGAGGAAATCTTAAGCGAGATCCATTGTTTGGCTGGAGCTCGGATTTTATTGAGAGCTGTATAATTTAAATCCATTGTAAAGCAAGTTCTGAGAGGAAACAATGTTATGGGAACAAATGATTATGAAGCTGCGAATTGTACCTTACTGAAAAGATCTGTCGGTAAATCTGGTTGAGTTCTCTTGTCGGAGCGAAAACCGAACTCCTGAGGTTGAGTCTGAAACACAATTTGAGTCTATTGTACAAGATTAAAGAAAACATATAGACATTAAGTGACATACCAAGGGAACTCTAGTTTCTCGCTTGCTTCTTCTGAAAATGCCATTGTCACGTCTGCTTGAGAGCATCTGTTCAATTGGAAACGAAACCTATATGAGTGTACCTATAGTATGATAAGTTTGAAGCAAGCATATGCAACACGTAAGTACAAAAACATTATACCTTATTCTCATGAGGATGAGCTTTGAAAATGTGCTTTTTATCATCCTCCTTAGGTATATCGACAGCTCTTGGTCTGTTAAGATTCAGCTCACAGAGTAATTACAATTATTTTCCATACAAGAGTTTTGAATAAGAAAGCAAGAAATCTGAAAACCCCTCGTACCTTCTTGGTTCCCTGTTAACACCGTCAAGAAAAGCTGTCGTATCAGGCTTATCTGACTCCTGTCAAAAAGAAAGATTCAATCCTTAAACATGAGCATTTTCAGACTGTTAAGTGAAAGAGATACACACATTGATATGAAAACAATCGTGTAAACATGATTTGACATCCAGTAAGATGTATAACCTTATGATATTTATTCCCTGATGATGCTGATGATGAATGTTGCATAGCTCTTTCTGAAGTCTTCAAGTGAAATTCCTGATAAGAAGCCCAAGAAATGAAAATCTTAAAGCCCTTTTAAAAAAAATAGAATAGCACCGTCTTGATTCTGTTTCTAATGCTTACTTGAAACTCTGGTAGTTTAGGAGTGCTCTTCTTCCGTATGGGCAACGATGGAGCCTCAAAGATCTTACAAAATAAAAAACACATGCATGAGCCTTAAGACACAATAAAGAAAAATGATTCCCATGTTTTGGTAATAGCAGCATATAATACTAACTTTTGGGTTGAAGGGGCGTGCTTTGAATCTGTATACTGATGCTGAGTCCTGCTCTAATGTAGTGTGCCTGACATAATCATTGGTACAAGAGCCTGTTTAATAAGACATTTTCCATAAATCTTCACTGTCAGCTAAATATCTAAGCCCTCACCGTATCCTGTTTGCTCTATGTGATGTTGCAAAATCAGGCTCATGTGGGATAGTAATCTTCGTCCTCCCAAATTGTAAGTTTCCCTCCTGCAAAATGATTTACACCTTACTCACTACTATCTTGAAACAAGAAGGTTAAAATTTTCCATATGTTCATGAGTACTCAAGAAACAGATAGCAACCTTCTTGAGTGCCTTGTGGACAAAATCCATCTCCTGAGTCGTTTCAGCAACCTGAAAGAGACAAAAAGAGCAAAGATTCTTTTACTGTCTCTAGTCAAATAAAAAAAGGAACAAAACTTTGATCTACTATTACTAAACACTCTACCTTATGAAGTAAACCTCCATCAAGCTTCTGTCTCTTAGAAGCTTGAATTTCAGAACGACACAAGCCTTTCTCCTTAGTTTGATCCATTGGCATACGGATTCTATAAGATAAGATCAACGAAAACAACCAACTGTTAAGTTAAGTTCACAGAAGAAAGATACTTAAAAATATAAATGATTCTCATAATCACCTGGCGTTATCTTGTTTTGCTAATTGACTAACAGTAGGTTTCATCAATGTTGAGCTTCTTGATATTGTCTTTGGTCGGCATTTTGGTTTATCAGTCTGTATGCGATTGCTAAATGTTGGTCCTGGTAAAAAGTAGAGAAAATGAGAGGCTTTAGAGACAGAAAAAGCAAAACTGAACAACAATTAAAAAGGTAGCAGCTTTGGTAATAATGTATCTAACTAGAAGAAAACGAGTTTGTTCAATGTAAGTGAAATACCAAATAAGATCAGAAACTTACATGTGTTGTTGTTATCAATGAAGTAGAAAAAAGAAAAAAAAAATCTTTGAACAGAATGATATAGTAAAGTGATTACCTTTATGTAAGGACTGATTTGGAACTTTCTTCAAATCATCACCTTGAATGAAATTAAAAACACCAGACTTCATTTCATTTCCTGAAAAACAAAACAAAGATCCAATTTTCTGGTTGGTTAAATTTTAAAGCTACACAATGCTAAACATATAAAACCAAACATGCTAAGATTCACCTGTTTCATTCAAATCTTGTTGCTGTCTGATTTCACTGTCGCTCTCTGGGACATCTGCTTTAAGTGTAACATCTCCATCTTCTGATTTTGACGAATGCTCCATCTTTTCATCAGATAACTCCTCTCTCATTAATAACAATTTGATTGCAAAAGCTGAAAAAAGCATACAATGAATTAAAATAATTAAATACACATTTTCATTGGGTTCTCTGCATTTGTAACGAAGTAGTCAAAATTAGTGAAAATTGATTTGGAAGCAAATTGAAAAAAAAAATGCAAGAAAATTGAGAATTATATTCCAATTTGAAAAATCCTAAAATTTCGAGTCAAAAAATTTCACTTATTACTCCTGAATTTTTCTTCACAGCATTGCATACGATGATGTTGACGGAAAAATCAAAATTTTAGCCCACACTTCATGAAAACGAAACTAATTCACAGAAAACAAAAACAAAAATTCAAAAACTCACGAGATGGTGGATACGACGGAGCGGACTCGAACCAGAGTTCGGCTTGCCGAGACTCCAAAGAAGATTCCTCCCGAGTGAAATCGTACCACTGAGCAGCATCAAACTCATACTCCAAATCGATTTCACTCACTTCGAACACCATTATCTCCTCCATCTCCATTTCTTCATCTGTATCCGTATCCGTCTCCATATCTCTCTCTCTCTCTCTCTAAAACCTCTCTACAATCACTATCTCTCTCGTGAACAGTAACGCAGCAGAGAGAGAAAAGAAGAAGCAGTGGCGGATTCTACGTCGCGTGAAGGTCACCACACGAATCTGGTGCAAGCGAAAACCCTAATGTAATCTGTGATTCGTCATCGATTTTGATGAGTAAGCAAAAGATTTGAGAAGATGAATGCAGAGAAAGGAAATAAACGTCACAAAGTTTTTTTTTTTTTTCCACTGTTATAATTTTATAAAGCGACAAAACGGCAATTTTTTTGTTTCTCTTTTATTTTTTTGTTTGCCAGAAGCACAAAATGACACCGTTGTATAAGCGTGCAGCGTCGCTTGCGTGGACTCTCCGGAGATTGTAGCGAAAGATTTGAATTTGATTGGACTGTTGAGAGAAGGGTGATTGGAAAAGACTAGAATGTCCCTGGCGATTGGTGTAGTGTATAGGGGTGTTTTCGTAACTTTGGGAGGAAATGACGTCAGGCTTTCCCGCTTTGGGCTACGAGCCCTACGAGCTTTTTGGTTGTGAGTCTGAAATTTCCGGCGGGGAATTTCGATTTTTGTGGATAATTTCGATTTGGTCACTTCTGTCCCATTTGACTTGTCTCTATCTTTTTATGTAAATAAATCGGTAATTTCCAGTTATTATTTTACACTGTGGTAATAATCTAGTCATTGATTCATTGGGTTCCTTTTTTATAATAAACAAATTAAGATTGTTTTTCTATATGTGCATGTCATCTTTGTTCTTTGTATCTTCCCAATGCGATTGTTTGTTGGGTGAATTTGTGAAAGAAGAAAAAAGATAAAGATAAAATTCTAATTAGGTAAATGATAATTAGTTACATTGCTATTAGGCTACATTAGCAATTTCAAATGGGTGATTTTATTGATTTTTTTTTTTAATTATTTCATATTCATTTGATAACTTGGACATCCGTAAAACAAGTCAAATATGCTTTAGTCACGTCCAAAATGTTTAAGGTCACTGGAATAAAAATATCTCCAACAGAAACAAATATATAATTATATATATAGAATCGTCATTTTCTTAGTTATGAAAAGTAACGTTGCTATTCGGTGCAGTTTCTCATGTTTGTTTTTGTTTACAATTCTTTTCATTTTATAAGTTACAATAGTGTATTCTGTCAATAAAATTGCACTCGTTATATAATATTTTAATCAGTGGAAATCAGATTCTCGACTGTGTTTATATTGTATAAAATATTTATAAAAGTATGCAAATGTTCTATAACTTTTTCTTATATTTGTTATATTAAACACTTATAAGTTTGTTAGGGTTTAAATATCTTCATCAATGCACTGTCCAAAAGGTTTCTAACTGTACAAAACACATGCATTGTCTTGTTCTGCATACGAAATTTACCGAATTCGACTATATAGTTCAAGAGAGTTCAAAATTCACGCAAATAACTCGATATGCTTCTTTGTTTTTATTTTATTTTTATATATTGTTAAATATGGAATATGTGTGACGGTTCGCAATATTTAAAATCTTTGAATTCATGCAACTGAATTTGAAATTCTTATTCTTATATGAGAGCATGTGTTTCACCAATCGACAAATTGCCATTAATGAATAGTGGATTTTTCATTCGCATGAAAGACACATAGATACACTGTCGAAAGTGGTACCAAGTCAGAAGCATATTTATAATCCATCTGAAGGATATAATTTATTCGTTCCAAACAGGATATTAAGAAATTTCTAACTATATTCAATTAAAATGTGTTATGTAATACCTTTTGTCACTGCGAATAAATATTTTGGTCCGAAGTTGATATAGATAATTCATAAGAAAATATGGATGGTGTATTTATAATTAAGTTAGACCAAAGACCGACACAAATTTTAGAGGATAGGACAAATATTTAATTTTGTTGGTCCATAGGTGAAACTTATAGTAAACAGTATGTGTATGTAAATACACTTTTAGACAAAACTGTCTAAAATTCTAACAGGGTTTTGGATTTTGAACCAAAGGCACCTTTTGAAGGGTACAAAGACAACATTTATATAGGGATGAGGGTAGTTGAACATATTTAGGGAGCTTCAAACGCACCAATATAAAAGTTGTAACTAATATAAAAATCGGAATTAATTATTGATGGATTTGATACAGTTTCGTCTTGGATTTAGTCCAATATATCTTTAAATCTTTCAAATATCAGCTCGGTTCATGTTTAATTTCACCTTCTTTAGATACGTACAAAAAGTAAAATCATTTTTAACCTAATCAACATTCGATTCTGATCAGGTTAATTCCGCTTATTCAAATCAAACACAATTAAATAATGTAAACTGTTAAGTTTTGTTATCCTGTTCTACAGAATAAATCCAAAATTAATTTTGAGCCATGCACACCTATTATTAAATATTCAATGCTCAGCTTATGTTGTTTGGTAGTTGATATGGTTTCATTGAATTGGGCACACATGCGCAGTATGGGGCAGCTTCTTCAAAAAACATAGTTAAGGTTTCTTCCTCAATCCCACCATTTAATATGCCGAACGCATTTAAATTGAGTTATTGCGTAGCTACAAAAATACTCTGACTAGTTTGTAAAAGATTTTATTTGGTTTCGAAAGAAATATGGAAAAGTGGGCTTCTTCTCTATCCAGCCCACAATATTAAAAGTACCATCACAGATTCACAATGAAAATGCATTATTTCTCAACTTTACAAAACAGTTTTTTCGTTTTTGTTGACTAAACGATTTATTAATATTTCTACACTTAAGAAATTTGAGTTTCGATTCTAAAAAAATATAATTTTTATAAGTTATATTGAAAGCAAAGCAGATAAAGAATATTTTTAAAATGGTGCAAATATATCTATTTGTAGAGACTCTATAAATCTATTATAAAATTTTGTAAAATAGATAAATTCTCAGTTAAAATTTATTATTATAATTTTTAATATTACAGATAATAAAAAAACAAATTTTCTTTCACAAAAAAATAGTTATGGTTTGCGACCGAATTCTAATTGTTATTGTTAACAATATATTACATATAATAATATAATATACTATCATAGTTTTGGTTTATGTTTTTCTCGCTCTCAAATCTATCGTATGTGTTTGGCAATTTTGTTTCTTTGTTGTTTCGTCTTCGCTGAAGCTGTGTTTTTTATAGAACTGAATCGTCCCAGTGCCACAACAAACACAATTCTCTTGTTTCCCTTATTTAGTAGTGAAACAGTCAAATAAAAAAAATAACTTCATTACCATTCATTATCATGGTTAAATAGTCGTACAAACTCCCAAATCTCAACATAGAAAACACGTCATGAAATCAAATAGATAACAAAAAATACATGTCATGGTTACAAATATGCAACCACAATCTTCGAAACAAAGATTAGCACGATTTTCCGCAGGACGACGGAGAAATAATATCAGGAAGACTAGAATCGAAATGGATCGCTACGCTATATTGACGAGGTTTAGTACAGTAATAGTCGCACGTCTCGAAGCAAAGCTTAAGATTATCAAACTTAGGGATGCATTTACTCCAGACACAGTGTTTGATGCACACGTCTTTATCCAAGGCATGATACTTCAACGATACGTTTCCTTTAGATTTCTTTGAAGAGAATATCTCCTCCTCGTTCAAACACCACGTAGCACTCATTAACAAAGCCATCGCTACGATGAATATTACCACTCTCTCGTTTATTCTTTTTGCACCCATTCTCTTGTTTGAACAGACGATGATTGTGTTTACAAAATTTGTTTTGGGTTTCTAATTAGTTTTAAGGAAATGGAGAGAGCGATTGTGGTTTGCATTTGGTGAGGTTTTCGAGAGAATTTATACATGTTTGTTTTAAACTATTTTTGTGAACTCTATTTTTGTGTGAGAGTAACAAATCACCAATTATAGCTCTCTCTCTTTTTTTTCTTTCTTGTTTTATAATTTTCTGTCTTTGACTTATTGTTTCTTCTTTTTCTCGAGTTATACAGAATGAAACAGAGGTGACAATTATTGACTTATAGTTTCTTTTTTCTTTTCAATATTTGACTTATTGTTGATTTATTGTAGATATGCGAGACGTAGAATCAACCATGTCCTCAAGCAAATTTTACCGTATGGTTTTGGACAAGCCTATTACTGTATATGGAGAATGCCCTAATACGCCCTACCACAAGTGAAGGATGATTCTGATAGTAATGGGTGACGAGGTCACTACTACATACTCACAAGAATTTAGTACAATAATAGTGGCACGTAAGCAAAGTTTATGGTTATTAAACCTACCGTTCTAACACCATATCGCATTCATTCACATAAACATATAAACAACCCGGTTTTTCAAACCAAACCGTTGGAAAAATCAATTCCGAACTGAGATGGTTTAAGCCCAATGCTTATTTTACAATTTTTTTTCTTTTCTTTTGAGAGATAAATATTTCTGGTTTAGATAAATATTACATTATTAATGTGATATTAATAAACATTTTCCTAAATATTCTTATTCATAATTATTCTTTCATTTTTCGTGTTTATCTTTATTTTTATCCAAATATCTTATTGGGTATAAATAGAGAGCCATTCCCACTCTTTTTCTTCATTCTAAACTATCACAAAACTAAAAAACCTTAAAACTCTCTTCTCTCTCTTTCCGGCGCCGAGTACGCTCTCTCCGCCGTTTCTCTCTCTTCGCCATGTCCCGCTGTTTATCTTCGCCGCCATCCGATGGTCGCTCCAGCCGCTTCCTGGAGCAGCCGACGTTGTCCGCCGCTGCCGTGGAGGAGCCGCGAGTCCACCACCTTCGGGATGGACCCGTTGCCGCTCCGACCAGCCGCCCCATCCTGGTGTTTCACATCGACGATGAGCAGGAGTCTACTTGGAGCCACGCGCCGCCGCCGCAGCACCCCGGAAGGCGGATTATCCTGGCATGGTTAGCTGTCATTGATCATCTCGCCTCTTTCTCTTCTCCGTACCTCCCCTTGCCACTTCCATCACCACCTAGGCCAAGGTGATGATGAATCTGTGATAGAATATTAGGTGTCCTGCTTTTCTGAATATCTAGTTTGGGGTTAAACCAAGCATAAACTACTTTCTGCTTTAGAAATGAGTCCCATTTAGGTCTAATTAGGTTGCTGATTGTTCTGTGATCGCCTAGACGTGTTTAGGATTCTTATCCTCCTTACAAGTTCTAGGCGATCACAGAACAATCAACAACCTAATCAGACCTAACTGGGACTCAGTTCTAAAGCATATAAATTAGTTTATACTTGGTTTAACTCCAAATTAAACATTCAGAAAAGCAGGACACATTATATTCTAGCACAGATTCATCCTCACCTTGGCCTAAATAGCGAAGGAAGTGGCGAAGGGAGGTACAGAGAAGAGAAAGAGGAGAGATGATCAACGGAGGCTAACCATGCCAAGTTAATCCGCCTTCCGGGCTGCTGCTGCGGCGGCGCGTGGTTCCGGGAAGACTCCTGCTCATCGTCGATGTGAAACACCAGGATGGGGCGGCTGGTCGGAGCGGCAACGGGTCCAACCCGAAGGTGGTGGACTCGCGGCTCCTCCACGGCGGCGGCAGAGGACGTCGGCTGCTCCGGGAAGCGGCTGGAGTGACCATCGGACGGCGGCGAAGATGAACAGCAGGACATGGCGAAGAGAGAGGAGCGGCGACGAGAGAGAAAGAGAAGAGAGAGAAACGACAGAGAGAGTACTCGGCGCTGGAAAGAGAGAAAGATTTCTAGGGCTCTCTATTTATACCCAATGGGAGACTTGGATAAAAGATAAAGATAAACACGAAAAAAGAAAGGATAATTATGAATAAAAATATTCACAATTCTTTTAGGTAAATGTTCGTTAATATCACATTAAAAATGTAATATTTATCTAAACCAAAAATATGTATCTCTAAAAATAAAGGAAATACTGAAAAATAGAAATTAGGCTTAAATCGTCTTAGTTCGGAATTACATTTTCCAAACAGACCTTGTTTAAAAAACTGAATCATTACAATTCTCAATTTGAGACTTAACGAGAATTCATCCCATGGTATGAACCTCCATGACCGACGTAAGCCGATGAGGAAAGCTAAATCGAAATCATTATTGTTTGTATTATAAGTTATTTGAAAACTATTACTAGAGAAAAAGAACGAGAAGATTGATTGAAAAGCTTATTATATACCACATTAACAACAATAGTATATGAGTTATTGTCACATTTTTCTTTCAGACATCAAAAAACAAGAACAAACATCAAAAAATATACATAACATTAGATCGTGTTAGAAGTTAATTTTTTAGGTGTTTTTTATTCATATATATTCTTTTTTTATAAACCCTTTTCTTTCTTAGCTAAAAAAGCAAAACAGAAATGAAGAACCCAGAGACCAAAAACCAAAAACCAGAGTTCTTTCACATCTTGGACCAAATCTGTACTTTTGGAAGAAGCACACACAAAAGCTTCCTATGTTGTCGCCATTACTGCAGCAACAAAGCTTCCTCTTCCTTCTTCATAACTTCGAGCTGTCTTTTGGCATACTTCATGATGAGAACAGTCGTCAAAACAGTCGCAACAAAACCAAGAATGTTGAGAACAATCTGAAGAATCGACATGCCCTTCTCTTCCTCAGTGGATGCATCTGTCAATTTCCTTATAAGAATCCCTCTGCAAACACACACAAAACTATCAGAATGCCAAATCAAAACCATTAAACTATCATCAAAACTTCAAACACGTTTTCACTCACGTATAAATAGCAACAAAGTTCTCTGGAACCATGCCTAAGAGAGAACCGGCGATGTAAGGACCGAACTTTACACGAGTCGCAACAGCACAATAGTTATAAACAACGTAAGGGAACGGTGAAATCCGGATTAAGGTCACTGCTCGGAACTGGTGAAACCAATTTCCTCCACCAGCAGCTCTCAACATCGCAGCTTGATCAGGATATCTCTCTAACCAACCCTGAAAACATTATTCAAGTTTCAGCGATACAAAAACAAGTTGTTTGCTTGAGCTGATATAACTGATTTTCAAAGCTGAGATACATACTTGGATTTTGTGGCAGAAGAGATAGCTGATGAAGTAAGGAAGAGATACACCAATAGCTATAGCTGGAAATGTAAGGAGGAAGCCATATCCATAACCAAATGTAATCCCAGCCACCCACATGGACGGCGTAGATGGAAGGAGTATGATAGGGAACAGTGCTATAGATGCGAATACAAGAATGCCACACACAGGATGTGTAAATGTCTTCATCTCCCATTTTATGATAGGGATAAGCTCCTGCAAGAAACAGAGCCAAAGATGTTACAGACTCAAATTGTTAAGAGAATCAGGCAAGATATGTATCAAACATGTATAGATTTTGGTCACAGAACATTTATCTACAAAAAGGATAATCCACTCCTGAGCTAATTGCAGATACAAAGAGTCCAATTCACATGAACCACTCTCATAAAGGAAACTCTTTTTCTACACTAATAGCACAGTTTCATCATACAGACTGGTGGCCACTCTTATAAAGGAAACTCTTTTTCTACACTAATAGCACAGTTTCATCATACAGACTCGTGGCCACTCTTATAAAGGAAACTCTTTTTCTACACTAATAGAACAGTTTCATCATACAGACTGGTGGCCACTCTTGTAAAGGAAACTATTTTCTACACTAGAAGAACAATTTCATCATACAGATCTGATTGAAGAGTGATGATTCTGGTGTTGAAAACCCTAATGAAACTTAATTGATAAAAGAATTAAACTTTTCGAAGGACATAACACAACAAACACCAATCCAACAGGGAATTTCTGGGATCGAGACATGCATTGATATATATATATATATATATATATATATAAATGGAGGAAAATTGAACCTTGTCCATGATTAAAGGAGCGAGCCATTTGTAACCAGCGAGACCCAACGCAGCTAGAACTGCGAGGAAAAGAGAAAGCTTGATCCAGAACCAAAGCGATCGTTTCCGTACACAAGAAGAAGAAGAAGAGGAAGAGGAAGACGGCGATGAATCTTCTTCCTCTTCCTGATTTTCACTAAGTTTAACATAATGCCCTAATTTCTCGATTCCGTCTTCTTCAACTCTCAGTCGCAGTTCAGAAACCGCATCGTCTTCGTCGCCATAAGTCATCGGTTGTGTAACCCAGAAACAGAGACGTAGGGTTACTAAATCGACTGGATTCTCCGATCGTTTTTCTGAGAAGACGAGAGGAAAACCCAGTGAATGAGAATTCGAATCACTCAACGAATCGAAAGAGACCAGATCATGAAGGAAGAATGGAAAACAAAAAGTAGAGAAGATTTTTTTTTAGTGTGAATTGAGAGGAAGAGAAACAGATTGGAGTTTTTCTCTTTTGGTTGTTTGTATAGTTGCTTGACGCTTGTTCCATTTTCTTTATTGATTTTTTCTTACTTTTTTTTTTTTGGTTCTTCCCTGCTTTCTTTTATTTTATTTAGAAACTATATAAATAAAATATGTAACCGACCGGTTGACTAAAAATAATAATAAAACATTTGGCCTGAAATTACTTGGATCAAATTGGATTTAGTAAATTTTACCAGGTATATAAAATATTTGAATTTTTTATTTAAATGATAAACTGAGATAAATAAATAAACAAAAAATGTTTGTGATGACAATTAACTGGTCACTTTGTTGATTATATATATTTTTATAAATTTATCTTTTTGGTAATAACATATTAAATAATAATATAATTTTTTTAAGTAATATATCACATGTTGAATTAAAAAACTGAAAATATATTTTATTAATTAGATATTTTTAATAAACAATACTATATCACGAATATGTTTTGACGAGTCTAAAATATTTAACTTGTTGTTAAGGAAATAATTCCGTGTTTTTTTAGCGAGTCCTCTTTATGTCACTATCCACCAGTTGTTTAAGAAGGGACTCAACGGATGTTGCAATTCATACACGTGGCGAAAAATGGGAGATTGTTTGCTTTTTTCTAAGTTTGGCGCGAGTTTCGTCACTTCATACTTTGAGGCCCCCACACATATCCATTCCACCAGCGCATAAAATCTACTACTGTTTGCCGACATCCCGTATTCCCGTGTGGACCGTTACTTGCAATCTCCTAGTCCACATAATTCAAAAGAAAGCATAACTTTTCATATATCAACGAAAGCATAACTTTTCATATATCAATGTTATTCAAATAATGATTTTAAATTATGTTTTAGAATTCAATGTCATTGGATATTTTATTTGTAAATTATACTCAAAAGATTTTAAAGGTATAATTCAATTTAAATTTTAAATATTACACTAAAATCTGGTGTTATGGAAAATTAAATAACTTTTAAAATTTTGTATATTAAGTCATTTGAAATGAATTGAAATATAGTTTCATAAATAAATCATTAGAAACAAAATCCAAAACAAACTGCATATATTTTAGACAGGAATCCACACACATGAATTTTGAAAAACAACATTAAAACTTCAAATCTTGAAAATTATAAAACTTTATAGAGTTGACTTTAAATCAATTATTATAGCCTCAGTTTGAAAAATTGTGTCATTTAAAAATTTATGGTTACATCTTTCCATTACAAATAGTTGCATCTTTTCATTTATCTTCATTAACTATAATTTGTGTCTTTTCAAAACTATTTATATTGCTCAAAACTACAGAAAAAATCATTTGGATCTATCTTTTACTTTTCTACTATAGTGAAGATTTTTTTTGTCGTAAACTTATTTATTTATCATAATATATTATCAATATACAAAGTGTTTAAAAGTGATAGAGGTTCAGATATTGGATTTGAGAAAAAGATTTCATTTGAAGGTCCAATTTTGGCTAAAATATGAGCAATTTCATTACAAGATTGTTTTACATGTATTACATCAGAAAAATAAAATCTATTCAACCAAAATCTAATGATATTTTTATTATAAAGAAATTAAATGTGTTATGTTTACAATAGATATTATGTTATTTAATTTTTTGTTAACAATCCAAATAAATGCCATTTACATGTTTCAAAATTTGTGGTTGCGTATTTCTATTATAAATGGCTGCATCTTCTCGTTATAAATGGTTGCATCTTTTCATTATAAATGGTTGCATTTTTTCATCACAACTGTTATTTGTGTATTTTCAAAACTATTTATACTGCTCAAAACCACAGAAAAATAATTATTTGGGTCTAACTTTTACTTTTTTACTATGATGATTTTTTTTTTATCGTAAACAATCCGAATAAATGCTACTTACACTTTAAAAAAGTTATGTCGTTTTAAAATTTTGTGGTTGTGTCTTTTCATTATAAATGGTTGTGTTTTTTCATCACAACTGTTATTTCATATTTGTATCTTTTCAAAAGTATTTATAAATCTCAAAACCACAGAAAAAAATCATTTGGATCTAACTTTTACTTTCTTACTATTGTGGGGATTTTTTTTTATCATAAACTTATTTATATATCATAATATATTATCATGATACAAAATGTTTAAAAGTTCTGGAGGTTCAAATATTGAAATTGAGTAAAAGATTCCATTTTGGGATTCAATTTTGGCTGAACTATGATTAGTTTACATGAAATACATCAGAAAAATAAAATTTATTCAACCAAAATCTAATGATATTTTTATTATAAAGAAATTATATGTGTTTTATTTACTAATAAATATTATGCTATTTAATTTTTTTGTTAACAATCCGAATAAATACCATTTACACTTTAAAAAGTTGTGTCGTTTCAAAATTTATGGTTGCGTTTTTTCATTATAAATGGTAGGCATGTCAAACTTACCGGCTCGGCCCGGTCCAACTCGAAACCCATAATGCCCGTATATATTTAAGCCTGGCCCGGACCAGCTCGATAATATATCAGACCTATATTTTGAAGCCCGGCCCAGCCCTAAAAGGGTTATCGAGCTTTTTTGAGATTTTTCGGGCTTTTTTCTGGTTTTTTAGAAAAATTAAATAATTTTAAAAATAATCATAAATATAGTTTTATCAAATCTGAAAGCAAAACTTTAACTTATAAATTCATATAAATTCTAATACCAAATATAATTAAATAAATAAATAATATAAATAGTAAAAACGGTAGAAATCGAAATGAGAATCTTCAGGATGCAAGTATAAATGCTTCTTGAAACTAGTTTAATTTGAGCATTGATATTATATGAATGCACACAACTAAAAGTTAAGGTTTTATATTAATAAAAAATATTATAAAAAATTAATAACTCTAAGTTTTTAAAATTGTAAAGATAATTTATTAATAAAAAAAAAAAAAAAAAATTATAATATAAAGTACATGGCTTTTCGGGTAAGCCCGAGACCGATCGGGCTTAAGCCCAAATGGGCTTAGCCCGAATGGGTTTAGCCCAAAAAGCCCGATTTTTTTTGGGCTTTTATACCAAAGTCCAAACCCGGTATTTTTCAGGGCGGGGCCAAACCGGGCTTCAGACTTTGGTCCAAATTGACATCCCTAATAAATGGTTGCATCTTTTCATTATAAATGATTATATTTTTCATCATAACTGTTATTTATGTCTTTTCAAAACTATTTATATTGCTTAAAACTACAGAAAAAAATCATTGGGTCTAACTTTTACTTTCTTATTATGGTAGATTTTTTTTGTTGTAAACATATTTATTTATCATAACATGTTATCAAGATACAAAGTGTTTAAAAGTCCTAGGGGTTCAGATATTGAATTTGAGTAAAAGATTCCATTTTAGGATCCAGTTTTAGCTAAAATATGAACAGTTTCATTACAAAATTGTTTTATATGCATTACATCAGAAAAATAAATTTTATTCAATCAAAATCTAATGATATTTTTATTCTAAAGAAATTATATGTATTTTGTTTGCTAATATATATTATGTTATTTTTTTTTTGTTTATGAAAGACATCTATATATTTTTAGTTTATTGTGTTATTTTCAAATTTTAATATTATTTGTTAATTGTTTATAAATTTAAAGTACCTAATATTTGGATTCTTTATTCTAATTTCTGAGAAATATACTTGTGTAATGTAACAAAATCACATATATTTTATATATGTATTTTTAAGGTATCAAAGTTTTTTTATATTTTAACTAATATATTTGTAATGTACTTTTTAATATTGCGAATCTTTTTTAGAAATTATATTAATCTTAGAAAATTTATTATAAAATCTCGTTACATTATTTTATATTACATATATTTCCTGTATTATTTTTTTTAAAATATCAAATTTTTATCATAATTTTTTGTTTCTAAATTTTTAATAGTAAATGTATAGTTTTATAAACTTTTTTTTGAAAAACTGCCTCTATATTTATTTTTTACTTTACACTTTTGCGCGAATACAAATAAAAATCGTATATTTATAAATATATTTATATTGTATATTTTCATATATAATTTTTTTAACTCTTAAAAAGTTGTATATCTTAATACTTTTCAGTTTTTTTTTCTATTAATAATTAGTAATAACAATTCTAAAAATGTTTGTAAAAATTTACATATTTTTATCATAATTAGTTTTTATATTTTCATTTAAAACTTATTGTTAATAATTAAAAAAACTTTTTTTTTTTAATAATTATAAATTATTTTGGATGTTTATATTTTTTTATTATTACTTTTTATTTTATATATTTTATTTATAATTATTTCAAATAATTTTTTATTTAATCTTTAATATACCGCATATTAACCTGTCCTATTCCTAGTCCACAAAATAACATCTCATAATTCATATATTTGTAATTACTTAACATAGTTTTCTTAGATACACATACACATAATGAGGATAAAACGGTTGACATCAAAAACTTTTCTCGTTCAAACTGCCATTACTGCTAATAAAGACTCAATGTAAGTTTATTCATCTTCAGAGTGAGCACACTCATTCAACATTCATTCACATTAAACTTTTGATTTATTTAAACTATTAATAAACATTAATATCAAATATATAAATCTTATCCCACTAAAATCTTCTCCTCCTTCGTTCTCTTACAATCTGGTTCTTCATCAACACCACCAAACTGGCATCGTCGTCTGTTGGGTCTAACATCATCCACCACAATGATATTATCAAGACCGTAGGAACAGCTTGCTTCAGTCTTCGAACTCAACTGAACCATATTTGTCTTTTTCAACAAAATACAATTATCATCATCAGGAACATACACCAAACTCATCCCACATTTAATCACCTCACAAGTCTCTAGCTTTTTCCTCGTCTCATCATCCGTCGCATAGAATTCGAACGAAGCCTTTGTGTAACAGCAACTCTTACTCTCTCCGTGGAGTTTCTTGACGTGGAAGCAACTATTGTATCCCATGAAAACATGGTCACAAGTAAGCTTTCTTGGTTCGTGGCTAACCGTTCCACACGGTTCGTTCCAACCAGCAAGAGTGAAATCGAATCTTGTGAAGGTACCGTCTCGGTTCTCGAATTTGCCAGAGCACTTTACAGAGAAACGTTTCAAACTGTCTTCATAGTCTTTGAATGAGACAACTACAGAAAAGGCAAGTCCAACAAAGTTGGTGTCACACCAATGCGGAGGCAATGGGATTTCTAGCGAATGTCCTAGTCTTTGATAGCAGAACCAGCTCGGTATTTCAGTCGCTGGAAAACAGATTCCAACCAGAGGCTCCGGGATGAATCCCTGCAACAGACAAACGATAAGATTCTGTCCTAATCTCAGTGGTGAAAAGGGATAAGAAAGGATAAAGAGAGAGATGATTACCCGATAATAACGTTTCACAGATGCATTAGCCATCAACTGACTTTTGATTCGAGCATGACCCGCGAGACTCTCTTGTGCGTCTTGGCTCAGTTTGTAACAGTTGCTAAAGATGAACATAGAATGGATCCTCTCTCCTACAGTCAAAGGCGTTAATGGATTTGCCAGAGTTTCAAGTGACTCGCACTCGTGTGCATCCAGATATTGCAGGTTTTGTGGGAGAGTTGGTAGAGACTTGAGCATTTTGCAATACTTTAGATCAAACCATTTCAGATTTTGAAGTTGGCTGAAGCTCTCCGGTAGATTCTCCATGTTGTTTCCGCTTAAGCATAGAGACTGCAGTGAGGATAGACCACCAATATTATCTGGGAGACTGTAGAGACTGCATCTTGAGAGGTAAAGATCTGTTAACCGAGAGCAGCCCAATGAAGGTGGCAAGAAGAAGAACATACTAACAGAAACTTGACTCTTTGTTCCACATAAAGAAAATGTCTTGATATTGCTCAAATGCATCATCTTTGGCATCTCTGTGATGGATGTATCATCCATAAGTAAAATCTCCAATGATTCCATGTCTTCCTTGATTTCTGGAAAAACTTCTAGTTTTGAGCAACCTGAGAGTATTAGCTCTTGTAGACACTTCAGATTATAAAGATCAGAAGAAAGTGTCTTCAGCTTTTTGCAGTTCTTCAGATTCAGCAAAGCAAGTTTTCTCAAGGCTTCGATGGACTCAGGTAGGCTTTTTATAGCTGTGCCATCTAAAAGTAGAACTTCAACATTTTCTGAGATCATTGGGAATTTCCTCAAGCTGGAGCAGCCACTGAGAATAAGAGTTTCCAAGGATTGAGATTTCATTCCTTGTGGAAGACTCTTAAGGCTTGTGCATTCCCTGAGATTAAGGTAAACAAGCTTATCCAGACAATTCATCGAAGATGGCAACTTTTTCAAGCTTGTACATCCTTCTAGATTCAATCTCTCGAGATTTTGAGCATTAACCAAACCTAAACACCGGCGTAAACTCAAGGAGTGACTGAGATCGACCCATTTTAGCATTCCAGCATCCTGTGACAAAAAGATCCAACCACAAGTCAGATCATAGATCCAAATCAGCATTTCAAGAGTTTAGCTTACAAGTGATCACTCAAAAATATCTACCTTGTCATCGTCCCAAATCTCTTCTAATTCACTATGTGGCAATTTAAGGTCTACAAGGTTTTTGGGGTCGAAGTCCAGAGGGATACTCCGTAGCGGGTATCCATGCCAGTGTAGATATGTAAGCTCATTAGGAAGGACATCAAGCCCCTTTCGCAAGCGCAGTTTAAACTCCGCTTCACATCCACGAGAACAACGAGAATCATATATTTTCAGGTATTTGAGATTGTACATTCCTTTGAAGGCTTTGGCACTTAGACGCATCGCTCCTAGTTTTGATGTGTCAAGAAAAATCCCCCTTATATTGTCAGTTCCCTACGAATCGAAGTGATAGATACAGTGGTCAGTGGTTAAGTCAAAGTAAGAGGCCAAAGTATAACAAATAATTGTATATGATAGAATTTGCCATTACCATGCCTTTGGTCAGAAGGTCACAAATATCTTCACTGTTCCATAGTCTGATATGAGACTGGCACTGGGTGCCATTTCGTGGTAGCCACCTAAAGTCTCTTATTCCTATGGTCTCTGCTTTTACGCTAATCTCCTTGCCCATCGTCTGCAACATGTCATGCATCTCGATGCGATTATCAGAGAGAGTGATCAAACATTTGTCAACGAGATCCTCTATCACGCTAGACACATCCACACCATGACCGCTCAGAAGGCTTTTCACGTAATCCACCTTCTCTGATCTGAAGAAACATGCAATATCCAGAAAAACGTTCTTCTGCTCAATGCTAAGCTCCTCATAGCTTGTTTCCAGAACTTGGTAGATATCTCCATGTGATTTACTTTTCAGTCTATCCAATCTCGCTTCCCAGTAGAGATTATCTCTCTCACAAAGATCAGACCCTAACACCTTAAGAGCCAAAGGATGGCCTTTAGCATAATCCAAAGCCATATTTGTCAAACTCTCAAACTCTTTCAAAGGACAAGATTCACCAAATGCATTCAAGCTAAAGAGCTTCAAGGCTTCTCTATCATTCAACTTCGGAAGCACGTATTTTCGTCCTTTGATCGTCTCTATCAGTTTACTATCTCTAGTAGTTATAACGATCCTACTTCCTCCTTGATACCATTTGCAATGCCCCATAAGATATTTTATTTGCTTTTCATCATTCACATCATCAAGCACAATAAGCAGCCTCTTGCTCTTAAGCCTGCGCTCAAATTTCTCATGCGCATTTCCAGGAGCTCCAATCTCAAGATCTCTATCATTTAGTAACGTAGAGAAGAGTTTCTGCAGCAGAGACTCTAATCCGCTTCTGCTTGAATTTTCACGGATGTTTGTAAGAAAGCAGCCACCGTCGAACTGTCCTCGCATTCGTCCATACAAGCAATCAGCAAGAGTAGTTTTACCGATCCCACCCATTCCAATAATGCCTACGATATGAACAGAATCTAACTCGTCGCATGATAAAAGCTTCTCAAGAATCTTCAGACGTGATTCCATTCCCACGAGACCTTCGTTCCCACTCGGAGCCAAATCATTCAGCTTCTTGAATGAGTCAACAGCAATGTCATCCACAAGTTTTGCCTCAGACGTGCTAACAAAAATGAAGGAGAAGCTTTATTAGGAAAAAGATAAAGGCAGAGGAAGACCAAAAAGAGTCGGAATGTTTATCTTCGTGACACTTATATCTATCTAGATCTTGAGGAGAGTCAAGTATGAAGGATTAACCTAATTTCCTTGACTACATAACCGAGAATGTTGGATGCTGAAGCAAGAGCAGTCCTCCACGATGAAATCTCCTCCGCGGTAACTCCGGGAAAATTCACTTCCGGTTCCTCGAACGGCACCGCGAAACTCTTCTTCTGCTTCTCGACGTCTGATTTGTCAACTTTGTAGAAGATTGGTACCACCAGCTGCTGGTTTCTGTCTCTGCACTCGAGGATTTTGACGAGCTCTCGGAGGCACCACGCGGAATTAGCGTAATTTCTGGAGAAGACGATGATTGCAATCTTCGATTTCTCGATTCTATCGAAGAGCGCAGTGAGATTGTCCCCTCGACGGAGTTTGTCGTCGATGAAGGAATCGATTCCTCTGAGGCGGAGCGCTTTTTGGAGATGGCCTGTGAAGTTGTTGCGTGTGTCAGCTCCTCTGAAACTGAGAAACACGTCGAGATCTGCAGAGGAAGAAGGACAAGAATCCATGGGAGAGACGCTTCGATGCAATTTGTCCTCCACTCCACTACTGCACAGATTACACAACGAATCTATGACGATCGGTCAACGGCGAGCAAAAAGTGTTTTGGTTTATCTGATTATTGATTAGAAAAAAAAATCAATCTCCAAATTGTGGTGGGGGAGTAGAAGAATGCTATTTGCAGAAAAGTCAACTTGACCTCTAGTCAACGAAATCCATAGGTGAAACTTGAAAGAAACCATTTTTTCTTCAAACAACATTCAATTCCCGAAAAAAATTGGGCAATACACGGAGATAAACAGGAAAAAGAGGGATCCGAGCTTTTTCGAAGGGAACAAACCCGTACAATGGAACATTCAGAATATCCCGCCGATTTAAATTCGTCGGAACTGGAAAGTCGGAGTTTGATCTGGAACCCAGAGCAATTTCTTCGTGGCCGTTCTTCTTCTCCACCTCTCAGCGTCCACGAAGATTCACGCAAGATTAAGGAATCTCCTACGACGCGGTGGCCGCATCGCGACCAAGCTCCGCGTCCAGAGTCGGTGGTCATTCACACCACATCGTCGGATTTCATGAACGTCGTCCACCAACTCACCGGGACTCATAGCTCTGTTTTGGAGCTAAACAATCCCGCCTCTAACGATTATGATGCCGAATCCCCGGCGTCGACAAACGGAAGTCCGAGAAGTGAAGATTTCGTCGATGGAGGAGGTTCCGGCGAGAGTCATCGCCACGATAACGTTTTCAATCCATATAAAAGGTAACAACAAAAATATCCCAAAGAATTGGGGTTTTCTTTCAAGTTTCACCAAATCGAATAACATCATGATATTTAGTCCAAATTTGGGTGAATTTTGCAGGAAAATGTTGCTAACAGAAAAAAAAATGAGAATAAGCTCAGAAGAAGGCTTAGGACTTCAAGATGATGGTTATAGCTGGAGAAAATATGGCCAGAAAGACATTTTAGGAGCCAAATTCCCCAGGTAAAAATATCATCATCACAAACCATGATCATCAGTGTTTTTTAATGAACTACGACTGCTTTTCGGATGTTCTAATTCAATTAATTTTTTGTGTGTGGTGATATTCAGGGATTATTACAGATGCACGCACCGTAGCACACAGAACTGTAGGGCAACGAAGCAAGTCCAGAGACCGGACGATGATCCAACGGTTTTCGAAGTGACATACAGAGGAACACACAGTTGCTCACAGGCCATGGCCTCTAACGATTATGATGCCGAATCTCTGGCGTCGGCAGACGGAAGTCTGAGAAGTGAAGATTTGGTCGATGGAGGAGGTTCTGGCGAGAGTCATCGCCACGATTACATTTTCAATTCAAAGAAAAGGTAGCAACAAAAATATTCCAAAGAATTGGGTTTTCTGTCAAGTTTCACCAAATTGAATAACATCATGATATTAAATCCAAATTTGGGTGAATTTTGCAGGAAAACGTTGCCAAAGTGGACAGAAAAAGTGAGAATAAGCTCAGAAAGAGGCTTAGAAGGACTTCGAGATGATGGTTATAGCTGGAGAAAATATGGCAAGAAAGACATTTTGGGTGCCAAATTCGCCAGGTAACATTATCATCCTCACAAATCATGATCATCAGTGTTTTTTAATTAACTACGACTGCTGTTTGTAACACTAGGAATAAAATCTCTGCTTTGCGAAGGTAATTAATTATTATATATTAAAAGTTCAAAAATATATTTTAAATTATTACAATAATGCATATAAAAAATATCATAAAAATATATAAATATTCTAGAAAGTTATAATTATTAAAAAAGTAAAAAAATTGGATTATTACCAATAAGTTATAAATGAAAATATACAAACTATTTATGATACAAATATGCAGTTTGTTCAAATAATTTATAAGATTGTTAATACTAAAAAAATAAGAAAAACAAAAAGTTATAAAATACACAATCCTCTAAATTCTGGGTCAAAGTATTAGAAGTAAGTATAAATGGAAAGGTATCAAGCAAAAAATAATAGCAAAGAGGCAAGCTTTCTAATGCCCCGGACGAATGTTCCAGTTCCAGACGCTACAGTGCTACTTTCAACAAAAGGGTATCTGTAAAATATTTTCTATAATTGTTACAATTATAAATAAAAAGTTATAATTATAATATTATGATGAAAACTTACCACATTCTAAAAAATACATATAATTATATAAAGGAAAATGTAATGAGATTATATGAAATATTTTATTAGACTCTTAAGGCTGTTAAAAAGTAAAAAATAATAAAAAGAGGCAACTTATTTAATTACAATTAGTATTTATTTTAATTATTATTATTAATGAATTCTGATTTCTGAGTTTTTATATAAATAAATTTATATTAATAGATAACATTAAATAATTGTAAAAATATATTGTTCAATATAATACATATTTTATTCAATAATTAATACATATTTTTTTAGATTGATGTTAAATTTGAAACCTTCAAATGAAGGAAATTTTTTTTCTTTATACGAATTACAAACTTTTATGATTAAATTTTTGATAAAAATTCGACAAACTAATAATAAATTTTTTGTCGTATAAACAAATAATTAAAATTATCATAATTTTGTGTCTTTTTAATATTAAAAGGCAAATTTTTTATAAATTAAAAATGTACCTAATAAATAATAAAAAGATATGAACTCTAATGCAGTTATTAAAAACAATTTATAATGAAAAATACAATAATTAGTTATTCAATTTTAAAATAAAATATTTAAGAAAATTAACAATTATAAACGAAAATGTACCTAATGAATAATAAAAGAACATTAATAGTAATAGCGGTTATAAAATGTTATAATGAAAAAAACGCAACTTATTAAAATGCAAATAACATTTATTCAGGTTGCTATTATTATAAAGAGTTCTGACGTGTGAGACTTCACTTGGAAGATAGCATATCAATAGATGACATTAAATAATTAAAAAGTATAGTGTTGAATAATTATTATATATTTTTTAGATTAATAATGTTAGATATATTTATTTTTTCGAACCTTCAAATGTAGAAAAATAAACTTCTTTATATGATTAAAATTTTTTTGTGATTAAGTTTGGGATAAAAACATGACAAACTAATAATAAACTTTACTTACTTCAGTTAAATAAATAATAAAAATGATCATAATTTTTTGTTTTTTATACAGTTAAAAAATATAAATATTAAAAGATATAAATTTTAATAAACAAAAATGTACCTTATAAATAATGAAAAGACGCTAACTCTAATAACGATTATAAAAAAATGATGAAACGATGCAATCATAATTAAGTAAAAAAGTAAATATCAGACCCAATTTTAGTCTTTGGTTTTAAGCAATATAATTAACTTTGAAAAAACACAAATTATAGTTGTAATGAAATGCAACCCTTTATTTTGAATATAAGCAACTATTTAGAATGAAGGAACCAACTATTTATACTGAAAAGATGCAATTATTTATAATAAAAAAATACAACAATAAATTTTGAAAAGACACAATTTTTCAAAGTGAAATTAACATTTATTCAGATTGTTATTATATATAGATCATCATCATCACAAATCATGATCATCATCAATTCATGATGTACTAATTCAATTGATTTTTTTTTGTATGTGACATTCAGGAGTTATTACAGTTGCACGCACCGTATTACACAGAACTGTTGGGCAACGAAGCAAGTCCAGAGATCGGACGATGATCCAACGGTTTTCGAAGTGACGTACAGAGGAACACACAGTTGCTCACAGGCCATGGCCTCTAACGATTATGATGCCGAATCTCTGGCGTCGGCAGACGGAAGTCTGAGAAGTGAAGATTTGGTCGATGGAGGAGGTTCTGGCGAGAGTCATCGCCACGATTACATTTTCAATTCAAAGAAAAGGTAGCAACAAAAATATTCCAAAGAATTGGGTTTTCTGTCAAGTTTCACCAAATTGAATAACATCATGATATTAAATCCAAATTTGGGTGAATTTTGCAGGAAAACGTTGCCAAAGTGGACAAAAAAAGCGAGAAGCTCAGAAGAAGGCTTAGAAAGACTTCATGATGATGGTTATAGCTGGAGAAAATATGGCCAGAAAGACATATTGGGAGCCAAATTCCCCAGGTAAACTATCATTAGTTCATCATCAATTCCCCAGATGATGTGTAGTAGTGTTTTTAATGAACTACGACTGCTGTTTTTCAACATCATCATCTTCACAAATCATGATCATCACATTCAATCGATTTTTTGTTTTTGTTGTTTTTTGTTTTTGTGATATTTAGGGATTATTACAGATGCATATACCGCAACACACAGAACTGTTGGGCAACGAAGCAAGTCCAGAGATCGGACGATGATCCAACGGTTTTTGAAGTGACGTACATACGAACACACAGTTGCTCACAGGCGATCGCCTCTAACGATTATGATGTCGTAATCAGCTACATGAGATGGGACATAAGCAACGATGATTTCATTAGCCATCTTCGTGCAGCACTCTCCCGGAGACAAATCTCTGTCCATGAAGACTTTAATGTAGTGGGCGCAGCTCCAGAATGTCGGGTTTTGATCATTTTCTTAACTAGCACATACGTCTCTTCTTACCTCTTAAACACTCTTGAACAACAGCGAAGAAAGTATCGAGTGGTTTATCCGATCTTTTACGGTATATCACCATCTGATTTGATCAGTAACGGCAAGGTTTATGATAGCTATTTTCACGAAGAGGAGCGAAAAAAATGGCAGGCTGCTTTGGAGAGATTAACTCAGATGCCTTTCTACACATTGACAGATAGGTACGTGATCCTTTATTTAATGATAATTTGGATTAATTTGATTAGAAAAATTTGAGGCAGTTCAGTGATTACTTGTTAGGATTTGTGTTAAAATGATTTCTCATGAAAAGCTGGTCTGCAATCGTTAAGGACTTAAGGTTATATACTTTTGATATTTGATTCTTGTCTTCCTCTCGAATCAAGAATCTTGTTGATTGTCTCATCTACTTTATTAATCTCGCAGGTCCGAATCTGAACTTATAGATGAGATTGTTAGAGATGCTTTGAAGGTGGTGTGTTCCAGTGATAAGGAGGATATGATTGGGATGGATGTGCAAGTAGAGCAGATTTTGTCACTGCTATGCATTGAGTCCCCTGATGTACGGAGCATAGGTATATGGGGTACGGTTGGTATAGGAAAAACAGCTATTGCTGAAGAAATCTTTCGCCGAATCTCCGTCCAATATGAGACTTGTGTCTTCGTTAAGGACCTTCATGAAGAAGTAGAGGTAAAAGGTCACGATGCTGTGAGGGAAGATTTTTTGTCTAAACTCTTGGAGGTAGAACCAGATCTTGTACGTATGTCAGACATTAAAACAAGTTTCTTGAGGAGTAGGCTTCAGCGTAAAAGGGTCCTCGTAATTCTCGACGATGTGAATGATTTCAGAGATGTTGAAACTTTTTTGGGGAAGCTTACCTATTTCGGTCCAGGAAGCAGAGTAATCACTACATCTAGAAATAGACATGTTTTCGTACCATGTAAAATCGATCATGTCTACGAGGTCAGGCCATTAGATATTTCAAAGTCTCTACTACTTCTCGATCGTGGGACATTTCGGAGTGTTTTATCACCTGAGTTTTACAGGAGACTGTCACTTGATCTGGTCAAATTTTCGAATGGAAATCCACAAGTTCTTCAATTTTGTAGCAGATCAACCGCAGCATGGGATCAGTTATCAGAACAAGTTCAGAAAATCCTTCCTATCTACATTCCAGGTATATTCGAAAGAAGCTGTTGTGGGCTTGATGAGAACGAAAGAAGTATATTTTTGGACATTGCATGTTTCTTTAGAAGGATGGATAAAGACGACGTTGCAATGTTGCTTGATGGTTGTGGTTTCTCTGCACATGTTGGATTTAGAAGCCTTGTTGACAAATCACTGTTAACAATATCACACAACATGGTGGATATGCTCAGGTTTCTCCAGGCAACGGGTCGAGAAATTGTTCGCCAAGAATCACCTGACAGGCCAGGGGACCGCAGCAGGTTGTGGAACTCCGAAGATATCATGGATGTATTTAAATGCCACGATGTAAGTCATCAGGACAATCTTTGGTCTCATAGGTTTGTTCTGGCTCAATTACTTTTGGTGGCTGACCATTTTAATTTTAACTTGGTTTTCAGGGCACATCAGCTATTGAGGGGATTTTCCTGGACATGTCGAAGGTGAAATTCGATGCAAATCCCGATGGATTCGAGAAAATGTGTAACCTCAGATTGTTAAAGATTTATTTCTCGGAAGTGGTAGAGAACCATGGAGTGTCTTTACCTCAGGGTCTTGAATATTTGCCAAGCAAGCTAAGGCTTCTTCACTGGGAATATTATCCTTTAAGCTCTTTGCCGCAAAGTTTTGATCCAAAGAACCTCGTAGAGCTTAACTTACAAAATAGCTGTGCAAAGAAACTTTGGAAAGGAAAGAAGGTAATGTTCAAGATTACTGTACTACCACCAAGTCGAACTGAATATGATAGACCGTGAGTGTTGCTGATGTTTGTTTCTCTCTTTTGCAGAGTCTGGGGAAGCTTAGAAAGATGAGACTTAGCTACTCCTACCAGTTAACTAAAATCCCAAGACTTTCAAGAGCGCCGAATCTCGAGCTTCTTGATCTTGAAGGCTGCAACAGTTTGGTGAGCATCAGCCAGTCTATCTGTAATCTTAGAAAGCTCTTTTTTCTAAACCTGAAGGACTGTTCGAATCTGGAGAGTGCTCCATCAATGGTTGATCTAGAATCTCTTGAGGTTTTGAATCTTTCTGGCTGCTCGAAGCTAGAGAATTTCCCGGAGATCTCACCGAATGTGAAAGAACTGTACTTGGGTGGGAGTATGATACAAGAAATACCGCCATCGATTAAGAACTTAGTATTGCTTGAGAAACTGGACCTGGAAAACAGCAGACACCTCGTGAATCTTCCAATCAGTATCTGCAAGTTGAAGCATCTCGAAACGCTGAATCTGTCAGGCTGCTCAAGTCTTGAGCGGTTTCCAGACTTGTCGAGAAAGATGAAATGCTTAAAGTCTCTGGATCTAAGCAGGACGGCCATCAAAGAGTTACCTTCCTCCATTTCATATCTGACTGCTCTTGAAGAGCTGAGATTTGTGGAATGCAAGAATCTCGTGAGATTGCCTGATAACGCATGGAGCCTAAGATTCAAAGTTGAATTCCGCAAGATTGATGCAGAGAAGTTTTCAAAACTGTGGAATAGATTTGGATGGCTCAAGAAAGTTCGGAGGACTCCTTGTTCTCTTGCTGTGCCACCAGTACCCGTGAAGACCAAGAGAACGGACTTTCATTTTCTAAGCTATTGCTACACCTGCAACAAGAGTCTTGACCACAAACAAGACATCTATTTATACAGGTCCGCTCATTAATCTATATTTACTTATTTCTCTCTAGTCAGTTCATCGAATTTCCTTTCCAAAACTAAGTTTTTTTTTAACCTTGCTCTGTTGCAGAGGAGAGAAAGGGTTTTGCAGCAGCGAGTGCAGATACCAGGAGATGCTTCTTGATTAAATAGAGAGCTAGCACCTCCCTTTCTCCATCTCTTTTGTTTTCTTAGTATAATTCTCTGATTCTGCCTCTCTTTTTTCTTCTCTTTTTTTCTTTCTTTGTATTTCCAATCATAACCTTTCTCGCCTGCAGATATATGAAATATAGAGAGTTGGATAACTTTTGTGCGACTTGGGGAGCTGAAAAATATCATAAATCTCTTTGATCTACATTTCAGGTCTATTCAAAAGAAGCAGTTGTGGGCTTGATGACAACGAGAGGAATATATTTCTGGACATCATGTTTCTTTAGAAGGATGGATAAAGACAACGTTGCAATGTTGCTTGATGGTTGTAGTTTCTCTGCACATGTTGGATTTAGAAGCCTTGTTGACAAATCACTGTTAACAATATCACTCAACATGGTGGATATGCTCAGGTTTCTCCAGGCAATGGGTCGAGAAATTGTTCGCCAAGAATCACCTGATAGGCCAGGAGACCGCAGCAGGTTGTGGAACTCCGAAGATATCATGGCTGTATTCAAAGGTGACACTGTAAGTCAACATTGCGATATTTGGTCTCTTGAATGTTCTGGCTAAATTACTTTTGGTGGCTGACTTCTTTAAGGTTTTCTTGGTTTTCAGGGCACATCAGCTATTGAGGGGATTTTCCTGGACTTGCCGAAGGTGAATTTTGATGCAAATCCCAATGTATTCGAGAAAATGTGTCACTACAAGAAAACAGGTCCGTTTTTCACCAAATTTCTGACCAAGTGTTTGATAAATAATAAATGTGATGACTTATTGATCAAATTTCGACCACTATATAAATTTGATCAAAAAATAGTCGATAATTTTTGTTGAATGATAATCATCAAAATTTGGACGAAACTTTCTGACCATATTCTAAGCAAAGTAATGGTCGGTCGAAAATAAAATAGTGATGAATTTCTGACCAAAATATGAATTTGATCACAAATTAGTAAAAAAATTTGATGAATGAAGTTCGTCAGAATTTGGACAAAAACTTTCTGATCATTTTCTGACCAAAAATAATAATTAGTCTAACCAAAGTCTTGGTAAAAAAATGATCAAAATTTTTTGACCATTTTTGACCATTTTCAAAATATTTAAACTTATGACCTAAAAAATCCATAATTAATATATTAGTCCAAAGAAAATAATATTTTTGTTTGAAACACATTACAATGATTTAATCATAGTAATACTCTGATGATGCTCACTCCTAAGGTTTTTCAAATTCTCCAATCTCTTCTTCTGAATCTTCTATCATATCGTCAGTTACTAAGTTTTGTAAATCAACCAAAGATGTGTCCTCGACGGAATGATCAGCTAAGCTTTGGAAACCAATCGATGTTTGTTGCAATGGATCATTTGGTACGACTCCAGGAACTCTTCCTCGAGGGGTTATTTGAGTAACTGTGATCCAAGGGTCCTGTTTTCGTGTGACACGGGGATAACATATGTAGCACACCTGATCAGCTTGTGATGCTAGAATGAAAGGATCATATCTGTTCAGTCTTCAACCTGAATGAACTGATGTTACACCAAATTTATCATGTCGAACGCCTCTTCCGATTGTAGGATCATACCAATCACACCGAAAAACAATGCATTTCAAGTTGATAATGTAAGGATACTCTGTTTCCAAGATCTCTTAGAATACCATAATAATCCGTAATACCTGAATATTCCATGGTTAATGGTTGTTCTAGTAGTACATTCCCGGAAACTTTTAAATGAATATCCCTGTGTATAGTACATCGGCGAACACATTGCACGTGAAAGTGGTCCCCTAACCAATTCTTCAAACCATGTTGGAAATACTTCACCTTGTGCAGAACCAGAAGAAACCTGGCCAAAACTTGTATTAATACAAATACAAGTGTATATATAGATATATATGTTTGCATCCTTTACAAATATAATTAGCATTATAAATATTATTGAAACTCACATAATATTTTAGCCAATCTGCGAACTGCTTTTCATATGTTTCCTGAATTTCGTCTTCAGTCAAATGCGGATATCCTTGCTTAAGTACGTGAAGAAATTTGCTGAAATTATTCAAAAGTAAACACAATTAGTTAGAATTAAGTAAAACATGATAGTTGCTAAAATTTATTATACACACCTTTTGTATGGTAACACTTCATCGCAGTTATGAAGAATACATCTATGCAAGTGAGTGAACTCCTGATCTGTTAGCCAAGTCTTCTTACGTTTTCCACTAAGTTTACCCACTTGTGCAAACACATCAGGTACAATAGTGGGGTAAATAGGTTTTTCACCTCTATCATCATTGCGGCTAGGCTTACGAGCCTTTGTTTGTATGTTGGGTGCAAAGTAGTAGGCCGAGAAGTTTGATGTCTCTTCATTAATACTTTGAGCCACTATAGAACCTTCAATTTTTTTTTAAATTCTTAACCTTCTTTTTAAGATGAAACATCAAGTGTTCGAATGGATACATCCACCTGTATTGCACAGGTCCTCCTAGCGCAGCTTCTCGAGGGAGATAAATAGGAAGATGCTCCATCACATCAAAAAAAGACGGTGGAAATATATTTTCTAAGTTGCAAAGGAGTACATGTATATTACTCTCCAACTGTTGAATACCATCAACTGTAAATGATCTTGAACATAGGTCACAGAAGAATGCACTAATCCTTGCATAAGTCATAACAAAATCCCATAAAAAATCCAATAATATATGTAAAGTAATAATGTAATATGTCAGGTATAATCCCTGCATAAGTCACAACAGAATCCCATAAACAATCAAATATTATATGTAGAGTAATAATGTAATATGTCTGTATATTGAATTTGTACAATATATATAAAAGATTACTCTTACCTACAACTGCATCAAAATCTCTCAATTGCATTCATATATGGTGGCCATCTAACTCAGGAGGTAGACCATCACAGATGACTCTCTTCTTTTTAAATAATGTCTTGCTTCGACGATAAGGATTGTTGCTCGGTAGAAAACGTTTATGACAATCAAACCAACACGATTTTCGCCCATGTTTCAACTGGAATGCATCAGTGTAATCCTGACAATATGGACATGATAACCTTACATGCGTTGTCCATCCAGATAACATGCCATATGCTGGAAAATCACTAATCGTCCACATAAGCACCGCATGCATTCAAAAATTTTGTCGACATGAAACATCGTATGCTGAAACACCATGATCCCACAACTCTTGCAATTCATGAATCAAAGGCTGCAAGAACACATCAATAGATCGCTTTGGATGCTCTGGACCAGGAACCAATATGCTCAGGAATAGAAACTCTCTTTTCATGCACAATGATGGCGGCAAATTATAAGGTGTAATGATAACTAGCCATAATGAATACTGTCTACCATGCTTCCCGAAAGGATTGAAGTCATCAGTGTATAATCCAAGGTAGACATTCCTTTTTTCATCAACAAATCGCGGGTACACAGACTGAAAATGTTTCCATGCTTGTGCATCCGAAGGATGGGCAATGTCACCATTAGAAGAATGCTCTGCATGCCATCTCATATGCCCAGCCGTCCTTTCAAATTGATATAATCTTCTAAGTCGTTCAGTTAAAGGTAAATACCACATACATTTAAACGGGACTTTTACTCTTCCACCTGTAACTTGAAACCTTGGTTTACCACAAAATCGGCAGATCAACAAATTTGCATCATCCTTCCAGTAAATCATACAATTGTTGATGCAAACATCAATCATCTGATAAGGCAACCCAAAACCTTTTACCAACTACTCTATCTCATAGAATGAAGCAGGAGACAAATTTTCTTCAGACAAATAATCTTTCACAAAATCTGCTATTGCATCAACAAAATCTTCATGCAAATTCCAATCCGTCTTTATATTCATCATCCTAGTTGCAGCTGATAATGGTGAATGACCTATTCATATATTGGTTGTTTTGCTGTATCTAACATATCAAAAAAAATTTTTGCTTCTAAATTTGGTTCTTTTTCTGCATTTCTAGATTCCATAAAAGACGGAATATTTTCTCGATACGCATCTCTCACCATCACAGTAGTAGCTATATATTCTCTATCCACACTACAATGTTATGACATATCTGCACCATTCTGACTAGTACTAGGCAAAGTAGTTGAATCTTCTCCATGTGAATACCATATAAATAGTTTGGCCTAAATCCTTTCCGTACAAGTGATCCCACATTTCTTCTACCATAATAAAATGTTCATTTTTGCTGCGACTACAAGGAGAGAACGTCTTACCAGTTTGTACGGAAATCTCTTGATTTGTGGCAAATTGCATGAAATTAGTAAGACCTTCTCAAAATTCTTGGGTGACTTCTCCTGTTTCTGGATTACAGTGTTTATACATCCATTCTCTTGGATGGAAAAAATTTGAAGACATTTTTTTTCGAATTTGTTTCATTTTCTTCTCTTTACATCTGAAAAAAAACCAGAGCGCACTGAAGGTTTTGTGAAAGAGAGAGATGAAATTTTTAGATAGACATAAATTTTTACCTGCTTTTAATAAGTTAGTCATATTTTTAATTAGATTTTTCATATTTTTGTATCTGCTCTCAACAATCACATATTTATAATCTATTTTTCTTTCTTTTTTTTTTCAACCTTTCTTATCTAAACCTAATATACTCTTTTGTTGCCAAAAAATTAAAAATCTTCTTTCTCGTCTTCTTCTTCTTGACGGCAACAGTTCTTCTCTCTCGTCTTCTTCCTCTTAACGCCAACAATTCTCCTTTCTTGTCTCTCGCTGATCAATCCTCCTTTCTCATCTCTTGCCGATCCATTCTCCTTTCTCATCTCAGACGCCATATTATACTCACCACTCTGTTTTTAATCATTCAACCATTACATACTCTGTTTTCTACTAGCCTTCATGTCAGAGATGTCTGAAGATATGGCAAGAGAGGGAGAGATGTCTCCATCTGAATCAGAACAGTTGCGATAATTTTTATTTTTTCAAAGGACTACTCAGTGGACACCGCATTGAGCCTAAGATTCAAGGTTGAATTCCGCCAGATTGATGATATGCAAAAATTTGAAAACTTCTCTGCATCAATCTGGCGTGATATCTTCAGACATCTCTGATATGAAGGCTAGTAGAAAACAGAGTATGTAATGGTTGAATGGTTGAAAACAGAGTGGTGAGTATAATACGGCGTCTGAGATGAGAAAGGAGAATGGATCGGCGAGAGACGAGAAATGAGGATTGATCGGCGAGAGACAAGAAAGGAGAATCGTTGGTGTTAAGAGGAAGAAGACGAGAGAGAAGAATTGTTGCCGCCAAGAGGAAGAAGACGAGAAAGAAGATTTTTAATTTTTTGGCAACAAGAGAGTATATTAGGTTTAGATAAGAAATGTTGAAAAAAAAAGAATAGATAATAAATATGTGGTTGTTGAGAGCAGATACAAAAATATGAAAAATCTAATTAAAAATATGACTAACTTATTAAAAGCAGGTAAAAATTTATGTCTATCTAAAAATTTCATCTCTCTCTTTCACAAAACCTTCAGTGCGCTCTGGTTTTTTTTCAGATGTAAAGAGAAGAAAATGAAACAAATTCGAAAAAAAATGTCTTCAAATTTTTTCCATCCAAGAGAATGGATGTATAAACACCGTAATCCAGAAACAGGAGAAGTCACCCAAGAATTTTGAGAAGGTCTTACTAATTTCATGCAATTTGCCACAAATTAAGAGATTTCC